TAGTGCAACATTAAACTTATATCCAGGTCAGGCGCGACTTCCGAGACTTTTTGGGCGCAAAATTTCGATATAAAGGGGTAATGCATATTTAAAGGAGGTGGGGATGGGAAGGGGTTGATATTTGACTACTTTTAAATGAGTAAAAATTTTGTAACAATGCAGTATAAGATTTATGTAATATAGCCGCTGATACATACATGAAACGGGATTTAGAATTTGAATTTTAATAATACCGATTAGAACGTTATTAATTAATAAAAGGATGGCAATAAAGTACATGATCAAAAGTTTACCAGACTGTTTGTTGAATGTAATCGAATACAAATTATTAATTATTTAGAGGAAGGAATCACTAAAGATATGTCGGACATGGTTAATATTTTCTTCCTTTTGAACAACAACATGCGCTATTATGATATTGATCTTTACGTCAAAGGGACATAACTGTGATATGTACTTTACCAGTTAATTTTTGGAGGATTATTTCCCTTCTACACTATTTGCAATCCACCATACAATAGGCCTATACGTCGTCATTTTTGTCCTAATGACAGAGTATGTGGGCGCGGAGCAATAAAATATTATGATGTATCAGATTGTAATGACACAATTCATATATACATGTGTGGGAAAGTTATATCAAATTTACAAGTATACAATAGGCCACCCCGGACCCTAACTCATGTGGAGGGCTTTGTACATTGTCCTAAAACCTGTAGTTTTGATAATACAGATAAGAGAATCTTTATTTATAGTCAGTTACAAAAAACAAATAAACATTAGCTATATAAGCTATTTTCCGACATACAAATGTAGCAGACTATCCTTTAACAATGCAAACAAACAACCTGTATAAAAGAAAAAAATACATGTATATAATATAGGAATAAGAAGATCAATGTTTATTTATGAGTGAATCTGTAAAATGAATTAATTTATAAGCACATATCAATATGGATAAGATAATAATTGATTAAAAACAAATATCACACTACAAGCAAATATCATAACAGATTATTACAACATACTAGAATTTCATTTTATGTACGCTTAACCTAATAATCAGAATAAAAAAAGAAAAGAAAATGAGGATTCAATCATATTTCAGTAAGACTGACCTGTTGCTATAGCAGCATCTGATACATACTCAACCATGAAAATATGAGTATAAAAATAACATGTACATGTACATGCGCATTAATATAAAAATTGAAATGTTTGTGTGGCAGTCGCTGAGCTGAGCTGGCCTAAAACAAATTTAAGCCATGCGGGATAAGCTTATTAGAAAAAAATATATATTAATATTGAATAACATTAAAAGTTTGACACATGGTAATAATTAAGCCTTTAAATGACTCAAATATACAGAACCACAATTTCCTATGTAGTACTTATTTCTTTTTCCTTGTTTATGTTATATAACCACAAGTTCCAATACACTATTTTTTTTCCTTGTTTATGTTTAAATTCACGTTTTTGTAGATTCTTTGTATCGTATTTTAAATGCAGTAATCTTCGGATACATGCCAATTTTGATGAAAATTATAATTAATATTATAACAGTTACATGTATAAACAGTGATAGCCTAATTAATTCGGCGTGAACGGTTTGACCCATTTAACAGACTTTTTTTCTTACTGTCAAACCGTTTTGGAAAAAGACAGCACCCGTCCAAAATTATCTCGGTGTCTCTTTGACAAGTCTAATTAATTGGACTAAAACAGTGACTCGTGCTCAGCGTACTATTAATGCTGTAGCAAATTTTATCCATAAATGTTTTTCATCTAGACTCGAATTTCTAAAAAAAAGTAATATCTGGTTGAACCTATATAGATCTAGATAGTGAATTATTTGGCTTACTTGAATATCTTTTCTTTTTTTTATTCACTTTTGTCATTTAATATGCCTTAGTTTCTGATTGTTACAAAGTCTTTTGTTAATGTTTTTAGTTCTGTACATCTTGTTCAATATCATTATTATGTGACTATATGCCTGTAAAGGCCAATGATTGGAAACAAATAATATTCTATTCTATTCTATTTTGTTCTGTTCTATTCTGTTCTATTCTATTCTGGTCTATTATATTCTATTCTGGTCTATTCTATTCTATTCTATTCTATTCTATTCCTGTCTATTCTATTCTGGTCTGTACTGTTCTGTTCTACACTGCGCTGTTTACGTGTGTACTGTATTGTAGATATACGGTAGTGGATTGCATTTAGCTCACATTCGAAAACGAAAGTAGTAGCAATAAATATTTTGTTTTTCGAAAACTATAAGTTGTGTAAACCAGGAAGAGAATAACAGCAGTTTTTTATTCTGTGTGTATTATTATGATAGTTTAAACAATGTGTATTATAAGATAGTTATATTCGAACGGAAATGGTTTAATCTTGCAGGTTAAAGCTTTAAATATTTCTACTAAATTTACGTAGTTTATATATTATTATTGTACTGTATAGAAATACTTAACTACTTTATAGAAGTATCCAGGTAATGTTTGTGAAACATTTTAAAGTTAACTATGATTATATCTACCAGTATGTATGTCTTATTACGTCTTATTTCGAAAACCTCTTGAAATACTTAAAGAATGAATGTTTATTTAGAAACCTACTTTCGTTTTTGTTTTTTTAAAAAAATCTTTTGGCTTGTAACCTACATTGTTTACATACATATACATTTTATGTTTATTCAAGTAAGGACAGGTAAATGGGTCACACACCATTTAAAGGTAGGATTTACACCTAGTTGTGATACTGAACATGTTTTGTTCAGGTTTACATTGTGTACTAGTTAGTCAAAGTATATTGACGGGCCAAAGCTACATGTAGATTCTGAGATATTTTTGTTCTGTGTCAGACTCTTGCTTCTAGAGAGATTTTTACCCATACATAAAATAGATGTACAATTAGTTGGACTACATTGTGTACTTGTAAATACACTTATTGATAGGAATGATTGATTTATTATATGTACATAGTTAAAGGCACATTATAGGGAATTTATGCCACAAAAACAAATAGATGTTTACTTCCTTAGAAAGGGCAATTAGTTTTATAACATTTAAATAACGGTATTAGAACATGTTTGATGCTTGTTTTTTTTTTAAGATGTAGCACTAAATGTCAATTAATTTGTCACAAAAGTAACAAAATGTAAACAAAGTAGTATTTTGACTTCCACACCAAATATTGTATCACTATAATTGTACTTATTGCCAAAAAGGCATCAGAAGAAAAAGTTGACTCAGATTATTGGCCAATGAGTATTAGTTTTGAAACTATAAAAGTACACTGAAAATAAAAAGCTATTAAAAATAAAAGTTAAAGCATTTCTAGGGCATAATGGGCCTTTAAAATATATTTACACGCCAAAGGTCAGAGGGGAGATATTGCCCATACACAAAATAGCACAATATCTCATTGCATAGTACAATTAGCTGGACTAATTTATTACATTGGTTGAAATATTCCGTTTTGTTAAAACACACCTTTAGAAACGAGGAAAAACATATGACGAGAAAAGAGTGGTTTGCTATTTATCCTTAATAGTTTAAATTTGCAAAAGTTTACAACATAATACAATATAAAGCTTCCTCAGAACAGACGTTTTATGGAACTACTTTGTATTAGTCAAAGGCAATCTAGGTTAGTTATTTATAAACCAAATATTACAAGCCAGTTTTAAGTCAAATACAGTTGTTAGGCACAGGTGTTCGGCTCATTTGTATTGTCAATAATGATCAAATTATCACCAAGAGCAAAATTATTATCCAGCTTTTTATAAACGGGTGCTCTTTATTACCATAAATTCCTAAAACATATATATAATATTTTCATTTTATATGATGTGGGATTATAAATTGATAACTTGTACCTTGGACAAAAATGATATATTTTTGGTCCCAGATTGTACATGACCTACTTGATTGTTTAATTTAACATTTTATCGTAGTATTGATATGGGCATTGTATAATGTAGTCAGTGTTTTTATCTGTAAACATAATAGGAAGGACCAGTCACCTATTGACTTTACAAACAAAAGTTTAAATATACATTCAGTTTAGATTTTTTAGCTCGACTATACGAAGTATATGGAGAGCTGTCCTACTCGCCCCGGCGTCGGCGTCCGCGTCCAGATTTTAGATTAAAGTTTTGGTGCAGTAAAATATTTTTCACTATAACTTTGTCATTTCTTAAGGTATCATCTTCAAACTTCAAATATATGTTCCTTATCATCAACCACATCTTATGTGACAAGGTTCATAACTCTAGCACCAATATTTTCAGATTTATCTCCCCTTGAACTTAGAATTTTCTTAAAAAATACTATTTTTTACTGATACTTCTTTATTTCTTAAGGGATCAAACTCATACTTCAAATATATGTACCTTATCATCATCCCCATCTTATGTGACAAGGTTCATAACTCTAGCACCAATATTTTCAGATTTATCTCCCCTTGAACTTAGAAGTTTCTTCAAAAAATACTATTTCTTACTGTTTCTTCTTTATTTCTTAAGGGATCAACCTCATACTTCAAATATATTTACGTTATCATCATCCCCATCTTATGTGACAAGGTTCATAACTCTAGCACCAATATTTTCAGATTTATCTCCCTTTGAACTTAGAATTTTCCATAAAAAATATTATTTTTTACTGTAACTTATTTATTTCTAAAGGGATCAACTTCATACTTCAAATATATTTACGTTATCATCATCCACATCTTATGTGACAAGGTTCATAACTCTAGCACCAGAATTGCAAGAATTATCTCCCCATAAACTTAGATTTATTTACTAGAAAAATGTTATTTTTTATTTCAACTTTTTTATTTTTAAAGGTATCTACCTCAAACTTCAAATACTTATATATTCCTTATCATCAATTACATTTTATGTGACAATGTTCATTACTCTTGAAGCAATATTTACAGATTTATCTCTCTTTGAACTTAGGATTTTCTTTAAGAAATATAATAACTTCTTTATTTTTTAAGGTATCTACTTCAAACTTCAAATATATATTTCTTATCATTACACAAATGTTGTGTGGCAAGGTCCATAACTCTAGCATGACTATTTCTAGAATTATTCCCCTTGATCTTGGAATTTATGTTAACAAATGTTATTTTTTTACTATAACTTAATACATAATTATACATAATTGATTTTTCTTTCATAGTTTTGTCTTCCTTACTGCGTCCAGTATTTTATTAGTCGAGCTTCGCTGTCTCCTGTGACAGCTCTTGTTATTTTGTTTCACAGATCCTGTTGTGAAGCGCTTTTATGTTTAACATAAAGGCCTTTATACCTCAGAAATGTTGTCATTTTTATTTTTCAAAAACTTTTTATTAAATTTTGGTATATTGTTACAGTTTCCAAAATAGTTTTTTTTGCTATATGCATAAATGATCTTTTGCTGATTTTGTTATGTTGGCAATTGGTATAATTATATTGAATTAGTATATTTTATGGAAGTCAAAATACTATGTACATTGTACTTTGTTTACATTACCTTTAAGACATATTATTGCATGTTCAACGCTACCTCGTCAGTCGTTAAACATTTAAAATGCTCTTAATCCATTATCAAAACATTATTAAGCACATGTAGGACATTTCTAAAGAATTAAAAAAATAAGGATTGCGAAGGCATAATGTGTGCCTTTAATGACATAGATACTGTGTCTGTATAATATCAGGATAATTATTTCACGGAGTGAGCACCAAAAGGTATATAAGAAATATGAACTTTTGGTGTTCACGATGTGAAATATATATTTTGATATTACACTGAACTAAATAAATTTTTTTTTTTATATTCAAAGAGAAATGTTTAAAAGACATTTTAACCTATAACATAATGTTTCGATAGGTTTTTTTTAAAAGACCGCGAAATAATAATCAGCGCGACGTCAATTACGACATAACATCACAAAGCTGTTTTCCAGTACTGTGCACTCTGGTATTTCACTGAAACAACGTAAGGGGCTTAAATTCAAAACGGTGAAAAATATCATATTGATAATTTCATTGTTTCTCACAGTGAAATATCAGTTTTTTTTATTTCACTAATATATTTCAATATACAACCGTAAAGCATGTAATGAACTTGTATATTTGTACTTGCACTTGTACTTGTTTGACGACAAGCACTATTTTTTGCTGAAAAGACTTTAGAACTACCTAGCTGATCAGATTGATAAAACATTGTTTTTAATATATCTATGTTTCCTTTTACTATATTACAGACAATTATGTAAACTTCATGCAAGTTGTGTAACAATGTCGGAGCTACAAGAGCGATGTGTGTTGTTGAAGAACTTACCCCATACATGTGAAGAACGTGCAGTTAGAGACACGCTTGATTTAGCTCACGGTGACTTCCGGTATGATGGCAAATATGAGAAACTTCACAGACATATTGAATTCGGTGATGATGTCAGATGGATTGTTCTCTTTTACTCAAAAAAAGGTAATATATATAGAGGATATTGAATGAGTGTAGTTTAATACTAGATTTACTGAACGAGTTGAATAAAATCATATTATGCGAGCCTCTGGCGAGCATAATATTGTTTTTTTCAACAAGTTCAATAAATTTAGTATTGAATCTACTCGAATATAATATTCTATTTATCACATATATAAAATAGGAACAGAAAACTGTAAAAATGAGTAATTTTTCAATGACGCGCCTATAGAGTAACGCTTACATTAGCGCGCTTAAATAACTCTATGTTTCTATATGGCACAAATGATGTCGCTTCAAAGTGTTATTACACTAGTGTAATATCGTTTTTAGTCCCCTACCGGTTTAACCGGAGGGGACTTTAGGTTTACCCTCCGTCTGTCTGTCAGTCTGTCTGTCCGCACTCACAGGACAGTAATTATGTGGCTTGAGGGACAATAGGTAACTGTTCTTTCTCATTGATGTCATTCATTCCGTAATGCTTTTATGTGCATATTTTCTTTTGTGTGGCTAAATAGAACAATAGAGAGAACCCAATAGAGTAGCCACATTATTACTCTCTGTTAAAACGTCGCTCTGTCTGTCCGTCAGTCCGTCCACAAAACTGGATCCCGCGATAACTTAAAAAGTACTGAAAATATTTTTATGAAACTTGATATATGGATAAATGGCAGCATGGAGATTAAGCACACCTTTTTTTTCTTCCTACGTTGAAAATTCTGGTTGCTATGGCAACAAATAGACTGAATTTAAAGATTTCTGATTCCAATTTTTAAGCTTTTTCACTATAACTTCTTTATTTCTTAAGGTATTTACTTCAAACTTTAAATATTAGTTTCTGGTCATCAACCACATCATATGTGACAAGGTTTACAACTCTAGCACAAAAATTATCAGAATTACCTCCGTTGAATTTTTTTTAATAACTTCTTTATTTCTTAATGTATCTGCTCCAAACTTCATATGTATGTTTCTTATTATCACTCAACATATATGAGAAGGTTCAATACTCTAGCAACACTTATAATTTTCAGAATTATGCCCCCCTTGAACTTTTTTGAGAAATTGGTATTTTTACTCCCAACTTCTTTATTCCTTATAGGATTTACTTCAAACTACCACATCATAACGATATGACAAGGTTTATAAATCTAGAATCCATATTTCCAGAATTATCTCCTCCTTGAACTTTGAATTGTTCTTATTTATTCTTTATATCTTATTTCCTCATGGATTTACTTCAAATTCAAAATAAACATTCATTATCAACACCTACATTATATTTAATTTCTTTTAAAATTTCCATTTTTGTTACTTTACATGTTAATGGTAAATTTGTAAATTGTTATTTTTTTTACTTTTCTTCTTTGTGACTATAAATGGTATCATCATGTATGACAATGTTTATAAATCTAGCATCTTTATTTCAAGAGTTATCTCCTCTGTTATATTTAGGTGAAAAATAATTTTGGAGTGTCCTTCAGTCTGTCTGTCTGTCTGTCTGTTCATAAAAACTGTTTCCTGAGATCACTTTTAAAGATTTTTTCCAAAAAAATTCACTTAAAATAGAGAAAAATTGAAACATTGGTTATACTTATTCATCCTGAGAAAATCAGACCTTTTGATTATCTGTTGTATAAACATAATTTCCTTATTTGTCAGGGGAACTAACACATAACCATGATAGAGACAAACTTAGAACTCAAAAGATTGAAGTTCATTAATGTCATTCATTCATTCAATGGTATAATTGAATGTCCAATGGCCCATCAGAATGTTGCTGGGGTTCTAACCGGTAGGGGACTTATGGATTGCTTGCAATACTATGATAATTGCTTGTTATTAAATGGCTTTATTACACTCCTGCGCTGCAGTTTATGTGATAATTTAATTATATAAAAACTAGACTTTTGACAATTCTTGAATATCTGTTATCATTGAGTGAAAAAGTGAATTCATAATGCAGATCTTGAAGCTTGTTAAAGATAGAATGAGGAAGAAGTATAATATATATAAAGGCTTTATTATGCCCCCATTTTGAAAAAAAGGGGGTATATTGCTTTGCACTTGTCGGTCCGTCGGTCCGTTGACCAAATGGTTTCCGAGTGATAACTAAAGAACCCTTAGGCCTAGGAACTTCAAACTTGGTATGGTGATTGGTCATGACCAGTAGATGACCCCTATTGATTTTGGGGTCAAGGGGTCAAAGGTCAAGGTCACATTGACCTTGAAAGCAAAAACGGTTTCCGATCAATAACTAAAGAACCTTAAGGCCTAGGAACTTCAAACTTGGTATGGTGATTGGTCATGACCAGTAGATGACCCCTATTGATTTTGGGGTCAAGGGGTCAAAGGTCAAGGTCACATTGACCTTGAAAGCAAAAACGGTTTCCGATCAATAACTAAAGAACCTTAAGGCCTAGGAACTTCAAACTTGGTATGGTGATTGGTCATGACCAGTAGATGACCCCTATTGATTTTGGGGTCAAGGGGTCAAAGGTCAAGGTCACATTGACCTTGAAAGCAAAAACGGTTTCCGATCAATAACTAAAGAACCTTAAGGCCTAGGAACTTCAAACTTGGTATGGTGATTGGTCATGACCAGTAGATGACCCCTATTGATTTTGGAGTCAAGGGGTCAAAGGTCAAGGTCACATTGACCTTGAAAGCAAAAACGGTTTCTGATCAATAACTAAAGAACCTTAAGGCCTAGGAACTTCAAACTTGGTATGGTGATTGGTCATGACCAGTAAATGACCCCTATTGATTTTGGGGTCAAGGGGTCAAAGGTCAAGGTCACATTGACCTTGAAAGCAAAAACGGTTTCCGATCAATAACTAAAGAACCTTAAGGCCTAGGAACTTCAAACTTGGTATGGTGATTGGTCATGACCAGTAGATGACCCCTATTGATTTTGGAGTCAAGGGGTCAAAGGTCAAGGTCACATTGACCTTGAAAGCAAAAACGGTTTCCGATCAATAACTAAAGAACCTTAAGGCCTAGGAACTTCAAACTTGGTATGGTGATTGGTCATGACCAGTAGATGACCCCTATTGATTTTGGGGTCAAGGGGTCAAAGGTCAAGGTCACATTGACCTTGAAAGCAAAAACGGTTTCCGATCAATAACTAAAGAACCTTAAGGCCTAGGAACTTTGAACTTGGTATGGTGATTGGTCATGATCAGTAGATGACCCCTATTGATTTTGGGGTCAAGGGATCAAAGGTCAAGGTCACATTGACCTTGTAGGTAAAAACGGTTTCCGATCAATAACTAAAGAACCTTAAGGCCTAGGAACTTCAAACTTGGTATGGTGATTGGTCATGATCAGTAGATGACCTGTATAGATTTTGGGGTCAAGGGGTCAAAGGTCAAGGTCACATTGACCTTTTAATTAAAAACGGTTTCTGATCAATAACAAAAGAACCCTTAGGCCTAGGAACTTCAAACTTGGTATGGTGATTGGTTATGACCAATCAGATGACCCCTATTGATTTTGGCGTTAAGGGGTCAAAGGTCAAGGTCACATTGACCTTGTAGGTAAAGCGGTTTCCGATCAATAATGAAAGAACCCTTAGGCCTAGGGACTTCAAACTTGAGATGTTGATTGGTCATGATCAGTAGATGACCCCTATTGATTTTGGGGTCTAGGGGTCAAAGGTCAAGGTCACATTGACCTCTTAGGTAAAAAACAGTTTCCGATCAATAACTAAACAACCCTTAGGCCTAGGAACTTCAAACTTGGTATGGTGATTGGTCATGACCAGCAGATGACCCCTATTGATTTTGGGGTTAAGGGGTTAAAGGGCAAGGTCACATTGACCTTGTAGGTAAAAATGCTTTCCGATCAATAACTTAAGAACCCTTATGCCTAGGAACTTCAAACTTGGTATGGTGATTGGTCATGACCAGCAGATGACCTATTGATTTTGGGGTCAAGGGGTCAAAGGTCAAGGTCACATTGACCTTGTAGGCAAAAACAGTTTCCGATCAATTAACTAAAAACGCTTAGGCCTAGGAACTTCAAACTTTGTGTGATGATTGGTCATGACCAGCAGATGACCCCTATTGAGTTTTAGATGAAGGGGTCAAAGGTCAAGGTCACATTGACCTTTTAAGTAAAAACGGTTTCTGATCAATAACTCAAGAACGCTTAGGCCTAGGAACTTCAAACTTGGTATGGTGATTTGTCATGACCAGCAGATTACTCCTATTGATTTTGGGATCAAGGGGTCAAAGGTCAAGGTCACAATGACCTTGTAAGTAAAAACGGTTTCTGATCAATAACTAAAGAACGCTTCGGCCTAGAAACTTCAAAACTTGGCATGGTGATTGGTCATGACCAGCAGATGACCCCTATTGATTTTGGGGTCAAAGGTCAAGGTCACATTGACCTTGTATGTTAAAACGGTTTCCGATCAATAATAAGAGAACCCTTAGGCCTAAGAACTTCAAACTTGGCATGGTGATTGGTCATGACCAGCAGATGACCCCTATTGATTTTGGGGTCAAGGGGTCAAAGGTCAAGGTCACATTGACCTTGTAGGTAAAAACGGTTTCTGATCAATTTACTAAAAACGCCTAGGCCTAGGAACTTCAAACTTTGTATGATGATTGGTCGTGACCAGCAGATGACCCCTATTGAGTTTTGGGTCAAGGGGTCAAAGGTCAAGGTCATGACCAGTAGATACTTTATAACCCTTATTAATTGTTTTATCACTGGGTCAGAAGTCATGCATAATAACCTTATCACATGACTAATTGGCTGCTGATAGGGGGCATACATGTTTTACAAACATATCTTGTTGATATATATTGTAGAATTAAAGGGTATGATTTTAGTATAATGTGTTATCCATCTTATATATTGGAACCTTGTAAACTTTGTTTTAATTTGAAAATTGAATTTTTTTATTTTGAATTAAATTAAATGAAAGCCCCCCTACCCCTGCAAGCAAAGCAATGCTAAACTTGTATAAATTGACTGTGCAACTTGAAAATGGCATACACTGTTCAAAATATAGATTGAATTTGAAATTTGAATTTCTTATTTTATTGAATTAAATTATTTTAAAGCCCCCTACCACAAAGCAATGCTAAACGTGTATAATTGTCTGTCCAACTTGGAACGTGAAAATAACATTTAAAACTAAAATTTTCTTTCTGTGCATGTATTACATGCAGTTGATATATCAAAATATGTTATTGTAAAATTTTTGCATAAAAACTGCATATGCTGGTATACATTTAAGGCTGACTGTATTGATGGCCCCGCTAATTTGATTGTCAAATGGCATCGCTAAAATGAAAATATTTTCTATTTGAAATATGACTGATGATATGTAATATGCAGTAAAAAATCAAACAGGTTGTCATCACGGGCATCAGATAACTGTTTAGCAGAAACTCTGCAGAGCCTCATAACCACTGTAAACAGTTACCCTCCAGCTAGATATTCCTGACCGTACCGGTAGCCGGTACATAGATCCTTATAAGGTCTTAATGCAGATAGTCATTTTTACAGTCATTTTTACGGCACCATGAACCATTCTTATTAAAAAAAACTTCCAAAATAACAGCCCTTGCTTTTTAGCTCACCTGACCACGAAATGGTCAAGGTGTGGTATAGTGATGGGGCTATGTCTGGTGTCTGTCTTAGTGCGTTGTTCGTCGTCAACAATTGCGTTGTTAACAGTCTAGCAGTCACAGTTTTGATTGGATCATCATCAAACTTTGTCAGAATGTTTGTCTCAATGAAATACAGATCATGATTTAAGATTGGTTATCTTGGGTCAAAAAATAGGTCACAGGAGCTAAAAATACAAAAACCTTGTTAACACTCTAGTGGCTGCAGTTTTCATCCAAATATTCTGAAAGTTAGTCAGGAAGTTTGTTTTGATGATTTCTAGGTCAAGTTCGAAAGATGGGCTATCTCCGGTCAAAAACTAGGTCACAGGAGCTAAAAATAGAAAAAGCTTGTTAAGACTCTAGTGGCTGCAGTTTTGATCCAAATATTCTGGAAATTGGTCAGAAAGGTTGTTTTGGTGATTTCTAGGTCAAGTTCAAAGATGGGTCATATTCGGTCAAAAACTAGGTCTCAGGAGCTAAAAATAGAAAAAGCTTGTTAACACTCTAGTGGCTGCAGTTTTGATCCAAATATTCCTGAAATTTGTCGAGAAGTTTGTTTTGATGATTTCTAAGTTAAGTTTGAAGATTGGTTATCTCTGGTTAAAAACTAGGTCACAGGAGCTAAAAATAGAAAAAGCTTGTTAACACTCTAGTGGCTGCAGTTTTAATCCAAATATTTGAAAGACCCTGTCTACAGTCAAAAACTAGGTCATAGAAGCTTAAAATAGAAAAAGCTTGTTAAGACTCTAGTGGCTGCAGTTTTGATCCAAATATTCTGAAAATTTGTCAGAAACGTTGTTTTGATGATTTTTAGGTGAAGTTTGAATATAGGTCATCTACAGTCAAAAACTAGGTAACAGAGGCTTAAAATAGAAAAAGCTTGTTAACACTGTAGTGGCTGCAGTTTTGATCCAAATATTCTGGAAATTTGTCAGGAAGGTTGTTTTGATGCTTTCTAGGTCAAATTTGAAGATGGATCATGTCCAGTCAAGAACTAGGTCACAGGAGCTAAAAATAGAAAAAGCTTTTCAACACTCTAGTGGCTGCAGTTTTGATCCAAATTTCCTGGAAATTGGTCAGGAAGGTTATTAGATTATTTCTAGATCAAGATTGAATATGGGTTGTCTCAGGTCAAAAACTAGGTCACATTACCCAAATATGGAAAAACCTTTTTAACACATTAGAGGTCACATTTTTGACTCAATTGTCATCAAATTTGGCCAGGTTGCTTGTCTAAGACATTGCTTGGATGCAGTTGATGGGTCAGGGGAGCGATCCAGGGCCATCATGGCCCTCTTGTTAATTAAGTTTTTATCTCTGTTCAGTTAATCCGGCATGCGTTATTTGTATATACATTTTTTAGCTCACCTGTCACACAGTGACAGGGTGAGCTTTTGTGATCGCTTTTCGTCCGTCGTCCGTCCGTCGTCCGTCCGTTAACTTTTACTTTAAATGACATCTCCTCATTAACCACTGAGCCAATTTCATCCAAACTTCACAGGAATGTTCCTTTGGTGGTCACCTTTAAAAATTGTTCAACATGCAGAACTCTGGTTGCCGTGGCAACCGAAAGAAAAAACTTTAAATATCTTCTTTTAAAAAACCGAAAGAGCTAGAGCTTAGATATTTGACATGAAACATCTTCTAGTGAGTGTCTACCAAGTTTGTTCAAATAAAAGCCCTGGGGTCAAAATTGGCCCCGCCCCAGGGGGTCATTGATTTTCCCTATATGCATATAGTAAAAACTTAAAAAATCTTCTTTTAAAGAACCCAAAGAGCTAGAGCTAAGATATTTAGCATGAAACATCTTCTAATGAGTGTCTACTAAGTCTGTTCAAATAAAAGCCCTGGCATCAAAATTGGCCCTGTCCCAGGGGGTCATTGATTTTCCCTATATGCATATAGTAAAAACTTAAAAAATCTTCTTTTAAAGAACCCAAAGAGCTAGAGCTAAGATATTTAGCATGAAACATCTTCTAATGAGTGTCTACTAAGTTTGTTCAAATAAAAGCCCTGGCGTCAAAATTGGCCCCGCCACAGGGGGTCATTGATTTTCCCTATATGCATATAGTAAAAACTTAAAAAATCTTCTTTTAAAGAACTCAAAGAGCTAGAGCTAAGATATTTAGCATGAAACATGTTCTAATGGGTGTCTACCAAAATTGTTCAAATACAAGTCCTGGGGTCAAAATTGGCCCCGCCCCGGGGGTCATTGATTTTCCTTAAATGTGTATAGCAAAAACTTAAAAATCCTCTTTGAAAAAACCCAAATAGCTAGAGTTTAGATATTAAGCATGAAACATCTTCTGGTAAGAGTCTACAAAGTTTGTTCAAATAAAATCCCTGGGGTCAAAACTGGCCATGCCCCAGGGGTGTCATTGTTTTTAACTATATGTGTATAGTAAAAACTTAAAAAATCTTCTTTTAAAAAACCCAATGAGCTAAAGCTTAGATGTTTAGCATGAAACATCTTCTTATGGGTGTCTACCAAGTTTGTTCGAATAAAAGCCCTTGGGTAAAAATTGGCCCTGCCAGGGGTGGGGGAGGGCAGAGGTCATTGTTTTTCATTATATGTGTGTAGTAAAAACTTAACATCAAGAAACATCTTCTAATGGGTGTCTTAAGTTCGTTCAAATAAAAGCCCTGGGGTTTAAACTGGCCCTGCTCTAGGGGCCTATATACAGGTGAGCGACCTCAGGGCCATCATGGCCCTCTTGTTTGTATTTAGGATAGATTTCATTTATACTTGTATTAAACAATGAAGAAGTAATAACTTATATTTCAGATGCTATTGAATGTATAACGAGCGGTCCCTGGGTGAGTGCTGCTATCAGGGGAGGATGTACGGTACGACCAGATTATTGTTCGGGATGTATTATACCTGATGAATGGTCCGAGGTAACAGTCATGCTTATATATTTATCAGATTATCAATATGGCCATTGCTATATTGAATTAACATTTTCTAGGATTAGTTTTGTCAGCTGACACTAATTGTGGTTAGCTCACAGTATGGTCACAGTTATAGTTCAGTATAATCTTGTGAACATGTATTAACTTAGAATAAATATCTATGACTAAAATGGTAGGATATTTTCTATGATGCAAAACAAATCTCTGTAAAATATTGTTTAACAATGAAGTTGTCTGATTTCATTTTAGTTTCAACAAAATTTTATTTATCCGAATGTTTATACTGAGTAGGAAATTGTATTGTAAATTAAGACATTTGTCTTGCTTGCTGCATTGCAGTGTGTTTACTTTATTAGTGGTATAATATATTATATTGCTGTTCCTGATGAGAGAATAAGTATAGAATTAATTTCATTCAAATATTACTATACAGGAAACACCTGGAGATGGAGACTGGGATATGGGCGACAGTTTCAGGACGCGGGACTGTAATACTGACACCTCAGATGAATTCATGAATTCCTTTGTCAATGTTAAGTCTTATAAATATGAAAATGATACAGATAGTGGTGATGACATTCATGAGCAAGATGTAGCTAATGCTAATCGTGAGACTGATGGACTTGATGACGCTTTAAATCTTACTGTGAAATTTCAGAATGAGTTTGAAACTTTGATTACAGAAATCGATTCATCTGATCAGTTTGATAGCGGAAAATCCAACGAAGCAGCTGACGAAGTCAAAGATGAATTAAATTTTGAAAGTACTTCAAGGAATGTCAGTCCAATTGGAGAGGAACGCATACCTACAAGTGAGTTATTTGGCAGTGGTGGTTTTGAATTGAAAGAAAAGGAAATAGATGAAATAACGATTAATAAATCTAAAGAGAATATTGAGAAAACTGTCACCAAAGGGGCCACTGGAGTTGCAATAGATATTGATCGAGGTACAAGAAAACCGGATAGAAAGTCATTTGATAGTGGCAGAGATTTATACTCGAAAGCAGAAAAAACATCTGTTATATTGGAAAGCACGAAAACAAAGGCAAAGACTAAATCAGAACATGAAGGAAGTGAGTATTATGATGATGGAAAAGTTAGTAGTGTATCATCAAGTGAATTGTTTGAAAGCGGTGATAAAGTACTAAAGGAAGATATGCAGGGACCTGATGATCTGCTTGACAAAACAAAGAATAACAATGCTAAAAAACAGGCAGAGAACAGGAAGGAAATCACCTTTGATGAACCACATGTTAGTCATACCCATTCAGAGACCAAAACAGATGCTGAAAAGTCTAAAAAAGCAATGAGTGCATCAGTGAGATCAGTAGATTTGTTTGGAAGTGGACATGAATCAATGGAGTTTCATAACATGGAAAAACAGGATCATTTTGAAGGAGCAAGTAGAGAACAAGGGGCTGTGAATAAAGACACTGATAATGAAACCGATGAAGCAAAGTCAGAAGCTTTAAAAGAGAAACCAGTGACCACTAATTTAGAAACTTGTGGTGGTGTTCAAGCAGGTAGTGGTATAAACCAGGGGGGACCGTATCCTTTCCAGGGAGCTCCATATCCTTACCAGACAGGACAAAATCCTTACCAGGGAGTACCATATCCGTGCTTTGGAACTATGTTTCCAAATTCTCATGGCGCATCAAATGCGACGTATGAATCTAACATGACCATGATGGGACAGGGTCAACCTCAACCAAATGAAACATCACCAGGAAATCCAGGTAGTGCATGTAACATGAACCAAATGCAACCGATGTACCAAATGCATCCCCAATGGCCGATGCCAATGCCTGTCCAAGTTAATGATAAAGGACAGCCTATATATCCTATACCTTTTCCTGGTATGATGCCACAAATGCAAATAGATGAAAAAGGCAACCCAGTACAGAACTACATGTATCCTGGTATGGTGAATCCATTCTATTTTATACCCTGCATTTCAGGACAGCCACCTTTCCCAACTTCAGGTCTCCAACAGTCAAGCGAAGAGAAAAAACAAGCTATAGATGAGGGACATTCAGCCCATGCTCCTCTTTATACTGAACCAAATAATGCGGAAACTAACATGAAAACAAAAGAAGGGTCAAAACCATTGAAGTATGATCGTTCTAAAAGTTTGAATGAAACAGAAGGGTATGTTTATGATGTCCCCTACAGTAATCATCGTGGGCTAGCCAGACAAACATCAGCAAGTGATACACTTGGCAATACAGAGGATATTAGACCGTATAGTCTTGCAAGAGAAATCAAATCAGATATTGTCTCTGATAAGGAATCAGACAAAATGGAACGGAAGATTACACAGTTGGAAAAAAGTGTGTATAGGGAAGGTAAATTTTGACATTTTCACCTTTGATACAGACTCGTAAATGTTAATTTATTTATTATTCCATATCCACCATTATCTATTAGATAAATAGTTTAATATAACTAGATTTTTATCCCCTGCCGAAAGGCGGCGGGGAATATAGAAATAGTCTCCATCTGTCTGTCCTTCTGTCCGTCCATCTGTCTTTCTGTACGACATTTTTGTCCGGAGCATATCTCAAAAAGTATTTTAGGTATCAACTTGAAACTTCATAGGACTATAGATTATATTGAGGGGGAGTGCAGTGCATAAGAATGATAAATCTACCCTGCATAATTTTTCAGTTATTGCCTTTTGTTACTTTTCAAACTTAATTTTTGTCCAGAGCATAACTCAAAAAGCCTTTGAGATATCAACATGAAACCTCATGGGTGGATAGATCTCACTCAGGAGGTGTGCAGTGCACAAGAATGATAACTCTATCCTTCATAATTTTTGACTTATTGCCCTTTGTTATCTTTCATACTTAATTTTTCACCTGAGTGGAGCATAACCCAAAAAGTCTTTTAGATGTCAACATGAAACTTCATAGGTGGATTGATATTATTGAGGAGGAATGCTGTGCGCAAGAATGATAACTCTACCCGTTATAATTTTTGAGTTATTGTCCTTTGTTATTTTTCATACTTTTTGTCCGGAGCTTATCTCTTAAAGTGTTAGAGGTATCAACTTTAAACTTAAAAGGCGGATAGATCATATTGAGGAGGAGTGCAGTGCACAAGAATGATAACTTACCCTGCATAATTTTTCAGTTATTGCCCTTTGTTTTTTTTCAAACTTAATTTTTGTCCAGAGCATAACTCAAAAAGCCTTTGAGATATTAACATTAAACTTCATGGGTGGATAGATCTTATCGAGGAGGAATGATGCGCACAAAAATGATAATATAATTTTTGAGTTGTTGCTTTTTGTTATTTTTTATACTTTTTGTTCCGAAGCTTATCTCAAAGAGTGTTAGAGGTATCAACTTGAGACTTCAAGGTAGATAGATCTCATTGAGGAGGAGTGCAGCACACAAGAATGATAATTCACCCTGCATTATTTATTTCATCCATCAGTATTCACATAGGTTTCAAATCTGTAATCACTTCAGCCATCAGTTTTCATTACCAAAAGACCTTTTTATATTGAATTATTCTGCTCTACTACATATACATTCTTACAATGAGCAAACACATTCGGCAGGGGATGGCCATGCTAATATGGCTCTTGTTTTTATAACTTTCAAATTTTAAAATGATATTACATGTATTATTTTTGATCCTTGATAAAGAAAAAATATGACTTATCCAGCAATATGATATGCTGTACAAAGTGCATTCAAGGTGCATGGTTTGTTACCAGTATATGCCATCCCATAAGTAACCATCACGGAGTAGTGGCGACATATAGGGATCACTTCTCCGTCGTCTGTCCGTCCGTCTGTCTGTCCATCTGTCCGTCCGTCACAAAACTTGTCCGGACTACTCCTCATAAACTACTGGTGCAATTTCATCCAAACTTTATAGGAATGATCAGTACCAAGTCTAGTTGTGCATATTGTCAGCATTTTCCGGTTCAATGATTTTTGTCAGAGTTATGGCCCTTTAATAATTTTTATTTTTAAAGTTTGTCCGGACTACTTCTCTTATACCACTAATGCAATTTCAATGAAACTTTACAGGATTGATCTGTAGCTCAAGTCCTTGCGCTATTGCATGGGTTTTCCGGTTGAATGATTTTTGGCCGAGTTATGGCCCTTTGATAAAAAGGTTTCTTTTTCTGTGTGTTGCCAGATACACAAAAGCTTGTCCGGACTACTCCTCATAAACTACTGGTGCAATTTTATCCAAACTTTACAGGAATGATCAGTACCAAGTCTAGTTGTGCACTGTCCGTCTGTCTGTCTGTCACAAAATTTGTCCCAACATGAAATTGGCCATCATGAGGCGACACATGTGATTACTGATCGCTCTTGTTATTTATTTCTGAATGTTGCTGATACTTTTTTATGTATATTATACATGTAATATATTTCAGAAAATATTTACGATGTTATTGATGAGGACAAGTTAAAATCAGTATGTATGTCATCTCGACATCCTGCTCCGCCTCCTGCCCCGCCTCGAACTCGTCCACCGTCAAAACCACGCACAACAGACACCAATGAAAGCCGCCTGTCAATATATGATGACAATGAATATGAGAATAATTTGGAAGGGAATGACAACGGAAAATCAGAAGGTGCTGAAGAGAGTTGCCGAACAATCCTTGTTACCGGATTATCTTTGGATGTTTCTAAAGAAGCACTTGAGCTTTATTTTGAAAACAAGAAAAAGACTGGCGGGGGTGAAATTGTTAGTGCAATAATCAATGAGAAAAAACTGGAGGCTGTAATAGAGTTTAAGGAATCAGAAGGTACATGAATCTAGAATTTGCAAATTATCTTTTTAGCTCACCTTGCACAAAGTGCAGGTGAGCTTTTAGGATGGCCAACCAAATGGCGTCCGTCGTCCGTCGTCCGTCCACATTTTAAATATTCTAAGGACATCTTCTATGATACCGCAAGGCCAATGTTAATGAAACTTGGCAGGAATACTCTTTGTATGAAGCTCTATCAAGATTGTTCAAAGAATTCCATTTCATGCAGAACTCTGGTTGCCATGGCAACCGAAAGAAAAATCTTTAAATATCTTCTTTTAAAGAACCGTAAGAGCTAGAGCTTAGATATTTGGCATGAAACATATTCTAATGAGTGTCTACCAAGTTTGTTCAAATAAAAGCCCTAGGGTCAAAATTGGCCTGGCCCCAGGGGGTCATTGATTTTCCCTATATGCATATAGTAAAAACTTAAAAAATCTTCTTTTAAAGAACCCAAAGAGCTAGAGCTAAGATATTTGGCATGAAACATCTTCTAGTGAGTGTCTACCAAGTTTGTTCAAATAAAAGCCCTGGGGTCAAAATTGGCCCCGGCCCGGGGGGTCATTGATTTTCCCTATATGCATATATAGTAAAAACTTAAAAAATCTTCTTTTAAAGAACTGTAAAAGCTAGAGCTTAGATATTTGGCATGAAACATTTTCTAGTGAATGTCTACCAAGTTTGTTCAAATAAAATCCCTGGGGTCAAAATTGGCCCCGCCCCAGGGGTTCATTGATTTTCCCTATATGCATATAGTAAAAACTTAAAAAATCTTCTTTTAAAGAACCCAAAGAGCTAGAGCTAAGATATTTAGCATGAAACATCTTCTAATGAGTGTCTACCAAGTTTGTTCAAATAAAAGCCCTGAGGTCAAAATTGGCCCTGCCCCAGGGGGTCATAGATTTTCCCTATATGCATATAGTAAAAACTTAAAAAATTCTTCTTTTAAAGAACCCAAAGAGCTAGAGCTAAGATATTTGACATGAAATATCTTCTAGTGAGTGTCTACCAATTTTGTTCAAATAAAAGCCCTGGGGTCAAAATTGGCCCCGCCCCGGGGGGTCATTGATTTTCCCTATATGCATATAGTAAAAACTTAAAAAATCTTCTTTTAAAGAACCGTAAGAGCTAGAGCTAAGATATTTCACATGAAACATCTTCTAGTGAATGTCTACCAAGTTTGTTCAAATAAAAGCCCTGGGGTCAAAATTGGCCCGGTCCCAGGGGGTCATACATTTTCCCTATATGCATATAGTAAAAACTTAAAAAATCTTCTTTTAAAGAACCCAAAGAGCTAGAGCTAAGATATTTAGCATGAAACATCTTCTAATGAGTGTCTACCAAGTTTGTTCAAATAAAAGCCCTGGGGTCAAAATTGGCCCCGCCCCAGGGGGTCATTGATTTTCCCTATATGCATATAGTAAAAACTTAAAAAATCTTCTTTTAAAGAACTCAAAGAGCTAGAGCTAAGATATTTAGCATGAAACATGTTCTAATGGGTGTCTACCAAGTATGTTCAAATAAAAGCCCTGGGGTCAAAACTGGCCCGCCCCGGGGGTCATTGATTTTCCTTATATGTGTATAGCAAAAACTTGAAAATCTTCTTTGAAAAAACCCAAATAGCATGAGTTTAGATATTATACATGAAACATTTTTAAGTAAATATCTACAAAGTTTGTTCAAATAAAAGCCCGGGGTCAAAACTGGCCCTGCCCCAGGGGTGTCATTGTTTTTTTTAACTATATGTGTGTAGTAAAAACTTTAAAAAATCTTCTTTTAAAAAACCCAATGAGCTAGAACTTAGATGTTTAGCATGAAACATCTTCTTATGGGTGTCTACCAAGTCTGTTCAAATAAAAGCCCTTGGGTAAAAATTTGCCCGGGGGGGGGGGGGGGGGGGGGGGGGGGCTATATACAGGTGAGCGACCTCAGGGCCATCATGGCCCTCTTGTTTTATAAGTGTATGGTAAAGCCATGCTGTGTTTTTTTGAATTTTTTTTCCCGAGATATTGCTTCAGTCAGGTTGTCGTTCCCGTTGATGTTGCCATTCAGAAACCAGAAACAATTGTCATTATTTTTAGCTCGACTATTCGAAAAATATGAGAGCTATTGTAGTCGCCCTTGGCATTCGCGTCTGCCTTAGTTAAAGTTTTTGTAAAGTCAAATATCTCAATAATTGCTTGAGATATTCAATTGAAACTTACAATACTTATTTATAGTAATAATGTACATCAGATTGACAAGTTGGATAACTCTGCCTACAATATTTACAGAATAATGCCCCTTTTTTAACTTAGAATTTTTTGTTAATGTTTTTTTGTAAAGTCAAATATCTCAATTATTGCTTGAGATATTCAATTGAAACTTACAATACTTATTTATAGTAACAATGTACATCAGATTGACAAGTTGGATTACTCTGCCTACAATATTTACAGAAAAATGCCCCTTTTTTAACTTAAAATTTTTGTTTTTCTTGTAAAGTCAAATATCTCAATTATTGCTTGAGATATTCAATTGAAATTTACAATACTTTATTAAAGTAACAATGTTCATTACTCTGCCATGTATTTTGACTGAATTATGCTCCCTTTTGTACTAAAAAAATCTCCTTTTCTTGGTTAAGTTAAACATGCAAGTTTTGCATATCTCTGAAACTATTAAAGATACAAACTTGAAACTTCATATGTATATTTGTGGTCATAAATAATGATCACTGGACAGCACTCATATCTGTGTCATGTATTTAGGCTGATTTATCTCCCCTTTTTTACTTAGTCTCTTGGTTAATGTTTACATGTAAGCTTTACATATCTCAATAACTATCAGAGATTTTGATTTCAAACTTCACATATGCATGGAGGGTTATAATTGTATGTCACTGACCAAGTTCCATAACTCTTTTTTGCAATCAGCATTTAGGCTGATTTATCTCCCCATTTCTACTTAGTCTCTTGGTTAATGTTTACATGCAAGTTTTACATATCTCAATAACTATTAAAGATATTTATTTGAAACTTCAATTATGCTTTTAGGGTCATAATTGTAGATCTATGACCAAGATCCATAATTCTTTCTTGCATTTAGGCTGATTTTTCTCCCCTTTTTCAACTTAGAAATTCATGGTAATGTTTTGCTTGTAAGCTGTTATCTCCATAACTACTGAAGGGTATGTGCCTTTTTTTGGGACAATTTTATGCATTCATAATAATAAAGCAGTGATTTACTTGATAAAACATCTTAATAACAAGCCTTTGTACCTTTTCGGTCAATTTTATGTATTCATATAGGTAAGCATTATTATACTCAATAAAACACCCATGTGACAACTTTTTACGAATAGTCAGGCCAATTAATTGTCCTCCATTAGTTCTTGTTTTAAATTCTTGATGGATTGTCTCTTTATTTGGAGGACAACAACTCTTTGGATTGGAAGTTCAAATTGACCCAACTGAACTTGACCTTGACTCATTGACCTTAACTTAACACCTTCAGTTATTATACCCCCAAAAACGAAGTTTGGGGGGGTATATAGGAGTCACCCGGTGGTCGGTTGGTCGGTTGGTTGGTCGGTCGGTCGGTCGGTCGGTCGGTCGGTCGGTCCAGACGTCCGTTGCATTTTCCTTGTCCGGAGCATAACTTGAAAACTAATGGTTGGAATTCAATATAACTACATACAATGGTCAAGCACATTGAGAGGAAGTGCAGTGCACAAGAACCATAACTCTATCTTGACTAATTACAGAGTTATTGCCCTTTGTTACTTTTCCTTGTCCGGGGCATAACTTGAAAACTACTGGTTGGAATTCAAAACAACTTCATACAATTGTCAAACACAATAAGGGGAAGTGCAGTGCACAAGAACCATAACTCTATCTAAAGTAATTACAGAGTAATTGCCCTTTGATACTTTTCCATTGCTTTCTTTTGTCCGGACCATAACTTGAAGACTAATGGTTGGAATTCATTATAACTACATACAATTGTCAAGCACATTGAGAGGAAGTGCAGAACACAAGAACCATAACTCTATCTTGACTAATTACAGAGTTATTGCCCTTTGTTACTTTTCCTTGTCCGGGGCATAACTTGAAAACTGCTGGTTGGAATTCAAAACAACTTCATACAATTGTCAAACACAATAAGGGGAAGTGCAGTGCACAAGAACCATAACTCTATCTAAAGTAATTACAGAGTTATTGCCCTTTGTTACTTTTCCATTGCTTTCTTTTGTCCGGACCATAACTTGAAGACTAATTGTTGGAATTCATTATAACTACATACAATTGTCAAGCACATTGAGAGGAAGTGCAGAACACAAGAACTATAACTCTATCTTGACTAATTACAGAGTTATTGCCCTTTGTTACTTTTCCTTGTCCAAGGCAACTACTGGTTGGAATTCAAAACAACTTCATACAATTGTCAAACACCGTATAAGGGGATGTGCAGTGCACAAGAACCATAACTCTATCTAAAGTAATTACGGAGTTATTGCCCTTTGTTACTTTTCCATTGCTTTCTTTTGTCTGGACCATAACTTGAAGACTAATTGTTGGAATTCATTATAACTTCATACAATGGTCAAGCACATTGAGAGGAAGTGCAGTGCACAAGAACCATTACTCTATCTTGACTCATTACAGAGTTACTGCCCTTTGTTACTTTTCCTTGTCCAGAGCATGACTTGAAAACTACTGGTTGGAATTCAAAACAACTTCATACAATGGTCAAGCACAATGAAGGGAAGTGCAGTGCACAAGAACCATAACTCCATCTTGACTTATTACAGAGTTATTGCCCTTTGTTACTTTTCCATTGCTTTTTTTGTCCGGAGCATAACTTGAAGACTAATGGTTGGAATTCAATATAACTTCATACAATGGTCAAGCACATTGATAGGAAGTGCAGTGCACAAGAACCATAACTCCATCTTGACTAATTACAGAGTTATTGCCCTTTGTTACTTTTCCTTGTCCGGGTCATAACTTGAAAACTACTGTTTGGAATTCAATACAACTTCATACAGTTGTCAAGGACATTAAAAGGAAGTGCAGTGCACAAGAGCCATAACTCCATTTTGACAAAATACAGAGTTACTGCCCTTTGATACTTTTCCTTGTCCGGAGCATAACTTAAAACATACTGGTTAGAATTCAAAACAACTTCATACAATGGTCAAGCACAATAAGAGGAAGTGCAGTGCACAAGAACTATAACTCCATCTTCAGTATTTATAGAGTTATTGCCCTTTGTTCCTTTTCTTTGTCTTTCTGGACTTATTACAGTGTAATTCAATAAAACTTCATCAATGGCCAACCACATTGAAAGGAAATGCAACATACAAGAACCACAACTATCTGTAATTGCCCACAACCATAACTATATTTCAATTCTTTTACAAGGTATTCTGTTACTAGTAACATCCTCATTTCCGAAGCAGTCTTGTGGGGTATTAATCACATTTAGTGATAGTTCTAGTTTATTTATGGATTGTCTTCATACTTGGGTAAAACAGTCCTGTAGATGAGACCTTCAAGTGGACCAAATTGATTAAGGCTGACCATGAGCTTGAAGGTAAAATTACTGAATTTTGCTTGATTTTTAATATTACTGGCTATTACTTTGGTATACAGTAGATTTTTAGTAAGTCGAAGTGGAAGGAACTTGCGTAAAAACTTCGACACATCAGGACTTTGACATGTTCTCGGATCTTGGATCGTTCTCAATTTCATTAAATTTGACCTGTTGTTATAAGTATACAAGGAATTACAAAAGGCGTAACAATAGAAAAGGGCAATAACTAAACAATCTTATAGAAAATATTTTGGGTGTGATTATCATGAGACACCAGGTCACTGAAGTTCTCAAATGAAAGTAGTTCTTGTTCACTTTCAAATACCACTATTGCAATTTGAATGATAACAATTAAAGCATTTTATCACACATTTAAATGAATACAAAGGCTGTTTGAACACACGACTGTGTAATTAACACCTGTCACACATGTTGATCGGTAATTGTCTTCGTGACCAGATAAGGTGTGAAAAATGTCTCGAGATCAAAGTTGTCAAAATAATCAGAGGACTTCGACTTATTTGTGGTAAATTATACTTGATTTATTCTATACATACCACGAAAAACTTTAACACATTGAAAAATTTGACATATAAAATTTCGACTTATAAATATATTTTTGTAAGGAATTCGACACATAAAATTTCGACTTATAAATATATTTTTGTAAGGAATATATATGGACTTTCATTTTACTTTGACACATCGAGAAAATTGACTAATCAAAGTTTGACTCATAGAAGTTCTACTGTATATGAATGAATTGTTGTCATACTTGAACACAACAGTATTAAGAACAATAAAGGAGATCAATTTGACCTTGACTCCTAAAATAATTGCATTTTCACATTGTTTTTGGTTAAAATTGGCTATAACTTTGCAAGTAATAAATGAATTTTCTTCATACTTGGGCACAGCAATCATTGGGACCAGACATTAAAGAAGATTAAATTGAACTAGACCTTGATCTTCAATTTGACTGTGACTTTAAAAGTCAAATTATTGAAATTTTCTACAATTTGCCATAACTTTGTTATTTATTTGATTTATTCCATGACAAAATCACTTATAACAAAACTGATTTGTCAACATATCTTTAGAAATGAGGAAAAGTCAGGTGTGGGCCCTGCTAGATGGTGGCTCTGGTTATGTCTATTTTAAGTTCTTTTTTCCCCTATCGTCCGAAAAGTTGAAAGTGCACTTAATGTAAGGGTGAAATAAGGAAAGACGAAAAAGTTTGACTGTCTTGTATTATACTATAAACATTTTACCTTAGTACACAAAATATGACTATGGCAAATGAAATGGCCACATTGTAAAATGTATGCCTGAACTGAAGGTTTAGGATATGCTATTTGAATCAGAGGTGGATTGTCTGGTGATATTTATATTTAACTTCGTCCAAAGTCAAGGATAAACTGTTTTGTTGAAACTTAACTAAGCAAATTTGACAACTTATGTTTTTGTGACTGTCTTATCGAAAATCTTATTGCAATCATTTTGCCCCTTAACTAAAGCTAGAAAGTTGCCATTTGACCTTAATAATGTCTCTATGATTTAAAATCCATCAAAAGAATTGGAAATAAGCTTTTCACATCTTCTTATGAACAAAGGAATGGATCATAACTAAGTTAGTTCGTAGAATCATTAGATATTTTTATGCCCCCCCCATGTAATGGCCGGGGCATATAGTGTTACCCTGTTCCGTCCTTCCGTCCTTCCGTCATTCCGTCATTCCGTCCTTCCGTCATTCCGTCATTCTGTCATTCCGTCATCATCAGTTTCCGTTCATTATCTTAGTAACGGTTGCACATATTCAACTCAAATTTGACATATGGATATGTCATGAGAAAATACAGGTCAAGTTCGAATTTGGTCATGGTTCGATGATTTTTGGCAGAGTTATGCCCCTTTTACTTTGAAAATAATATGAAATTTTCAGTTTCCGTTCATTATCTCCCCAACGGTACAACACATTCAACTCAAATTTGACATATGGATATTTTTTTGGAATGCCAAGGTCAAGTTCGAATTTGGTCATGGTTCAATAATTTTTGGCAGAGTAATGCCCTTTTCACTTTGAAAAAATATAAAATTTACAGTTTCTGTTCATTATCTACCCAACAGTGTTAAATATTCAACTCAAATTTGACATAAGGATATGTCAAAGGAATGGGCAGGTCAAGTTGGAATTTGGTCATGGTTCGATGATTTTTTGGCAGAGTTATGTCCCTTTCACTTTGAAAATAATATAGATACATCTTAGGAATAGGCAGTTTAAATTTGAATTTGGTCGTGGTTCAATGATTTTGGACAAACTTATCTTTCTTGAATATTGGAAAAAAATTTGAACTTTCAGTTTCAGCACTCATACTTTTGTGGAAATGTATGTAGCCATTATTTTGGCTACAAATATGAAATATGCTATTTTCAAAAGGATAAGACTGAATAATTTCAGTGCCTTGAACATTGTATGAAAATGGTTTGTGTTAACATTGAAAAGTTTTAAGGGCTTTGAACTTAAAATGAAAACAATAATTTGTGCAAACAAATTTGGAACTAAATATCATAACATCTGAAATTTTGGCTGCATGCGGGGGCATCCGTGGCATGATGACACATTTCTAGTTCTATAAAATTTGTTTAGAAAAGGAGGTAGACCTTTTTTGCTGTAGTCCTCAGAGCTCAAAAAAGTAAATCTTTAATCATCTTATTTTAAAACGAGACCTAAGATGTTACCCATAACCAATTATGTTGAAGCAATTTCACAAAAACCTGCAAATTACAATGTAGGGATTGCTTTCCTTACGTGAAAATAGAGGTTTTTATGTTGTTTGTTTGATGCAATTTAGACAAAAATTTAAACAGGATAGTTAATATAGCCTTGTATTGCCCACTTAAACTGATCAGATATGATAAACTTTAAAGAGAATTGCTTTGATTATTTCCCCTAATAACAGTTGCAGCGGCTGTCATTCAGCGGGGGCTAGAAGGAAAACAATGTACAATAGCCGGTTGTCAACTTACTGTTTCTGAATATCACCCACCTCCTGTGGACCCGTTCAAGATTTTTATAAGTGGGATTTCAGAGACAACTACCATGGAATGCATTACAAACTTTTTAGCGGCACAGACCCACTCAGAGCCATCCACCATTATTCTTGGTGAAACACCTGGCACGGCTTTGGTATTATTTGATACACGAATAGGTAATGTTTGTCATTTAGTTCAATTCATTTATGTACGATTCTATATTTATTTTGTGTTAAGAATCTTTTCTTGAACATGATTTTTAAATATATTTTTTGTTGAAAGTATATTGTCAAACTTAAACTACATAAGATAATTGAGTTTTCCTCCATTTATCTTAAGACCTATAAGGTATGACCAATTTGTTGGATATTATACATGTATATTGAATATTTGTAATTTATATGGATTTTTACTGTTTTAAAAGCTTTGTTTAAGATATTGAGTATATATATATATATATATATATATATATATATATATATATATATATATATATATATATATATATATATATATATGTATATTGTATAGTTGTGAAATGTAGACCTTTGGGCAAGATGTGTATTTTAGCTTGATGAAAAATTGGACCTATTGTCATGGCCTACTTGATTGTTTGGACATCGGCATATGTTTTTCGTTTTAATTAAGTTTTCATTTATTATCATTGACATCAATGAATGCCTTTCTTTTAGCAACTAATCTTTACCCTGGCTGTCATTATGGGGTCATTTTTAATACATATATGAGCTGCGTCACGACAAAACCAACATAATGGTACCCGGGTGTAAAAAGTCCATGCTTTTCCAGGGATTTCCATGGAAAATAAGAGGCTGGAGTATTGGAACAAAATTTTCCAGCCTTTTCCAGCCTGAAGCTGAGAAAAAATGGGCTGGAAAAACAGGGAACATTTTCCATGCTGCATGGAATATTTTCCATGTTTTCCATGGAAAAGCATGGACTTTATTCCATGCTTTTCCATGTACATGGAGTATTGGAACAAAAGTATGGATTTTTTTCCAGGGTATTCCATGTGACTGCCAACCATAGAGGCTGGACTTTTTACCATGGTAAATAGTCCAGCCTTGATGGAATAACATGGAAAAAAATCCAGCCTAATTCCAGCATCCCTGAATGTTCTTAAAATTTAAAATTCTCTGATGGAATTCAGCACAGGAATATTTGGGGTGGAATTTTTATTAGTTTAACATGATCACATATTTCTTTCACAAAATTTAATACATATCCTTTAGTCCAAATACAGAATAGAACATCCTACATTCACTATAGCACAAACAGTTTTTTTATAGCTGCAGGTTTGGTAGCTAGGTTCTGGTTGTCTTATAAATTTTAGCAATTATTTTGCTCTTAATCTGTCAATGAGAAACTGTTTTAATCTTAAATTTGTTTCAAGTGCTTCTGATTATTTAAATTACTATTTCTTTTATTGATGTCCATTTATTTGGCATTTTCAGTCCACTGCCTGTGTTTCCTAGAACTTCTTGTGGTTGTGCTCACCTTTAAAGATAAAATTCATAATAAATTTAACACAGATGTGGTAATGACTTATGTTTTATTGCATATAAATATTATGCAGTTATATTTCGTATCTTTTAATAACATCAAATCTAATGTTTCAAATCATATTAATGTATTAACTATTAAATATTAACTATGCTTATGCATATTCAAAAATACTAAAGCAATGCAGTATATCTTATTTCAAAGTGCACAAGTGTTTAAGAATTTCTCTGTACATATATAAGAATTAAGTAAATATGTGTGACAATATTTATCACCCAGTATGTATTTTTTCAAGAAAAGACATGGAATAAAAATGTACACGTATTGAGATTTAAAAATATACCTTTTCAGGATTAATACTGCACATCATTATTAAACACTGTTGGTAATTCTCACAGTCACCACTTATGTCCCAGCCTGCAAGTTATGTAATTGTATAATGTAAAATGTTATTTTAGATTGTTCCATTGAAAACACAACAGATACATGTAAATATAACAAATGATTATGATGACCCTGTTCAGCTGTACAAAACTACTGATTGCCGGCTCGCCACGGCGAGCCGGTATTACGATAGGATTTTACTGAGAAACAACCTAAAACTCCGAATCAATCCAAAAATTTAATCGAAGCTTAGCTTCCAGCTTTCTACAAAATTTATCTATCAGGGCTAGGATCCAAAATTATTTAGCCAATCAAATTTGATCTTATATAGCGTCAAAAAACCTTCAATTTTCACGCCATTTTTTAAAAGCAGCAAGTATTGTTTTGAGCGCAAAGATATATTGATGATTAAAATGTTTGTTTTCATGGATTCTTTTCAGTAAATCATATTTACACTGACTTTTGATTTAGCGATTTCACCAGTCCTGTTTACTCTGTAGTAAGTTTTCGTTTGGTTAATTAACATAAACGACATCTGGTTATGTGCATTTTTTTTCTTTTTCCTTTTTTCCGGTCATTTTATCCTTTCCGGTATTTAGTATATGTATTTACTGGCCGGGATCCGGGACGCCCGGGATCCGGGATCGTATACGATAATAAGGGAAAAAACTAATAAACTATATTTGTGTTGATTATTGTCGTAATGAAAGGCCATTAAACGGTAAGTTTTTTTTACTGTATGTAATGAAAGTTAAATTGATTTAACTTAGGATATAGATATATTTAGAGCTATTTATTAACAAAATCACAATACTTATAATTATATGCCTAATTAATTGGAAAAATCAAAGACTATATTCTTGAATTGGTCAAATCCCGGGATCCCTATATACGATCCCAGCTTTTCTGAAAACAATATTCTTGAACTGTCCAATTCCTTGGATCTCTTAATTTTTTAATATGATCCCGGCTTTTCTGAAAACTATATTCTTGAACTGGTCAATTTCCGGGATCCTATTTTTTTAATAGGATCCCGGCTTTTCTGGCTGAATTGATAGACAACTTGTGTTTACTTTAGGACTAGTATCTGTCACTTATTTCAATACTAAATAACATATTACAACTTAACTTCGTATAAAGAGACATTTTTATGAATTCTACTTATCTATTTTTTTTTCTGGTCAAGGTCAACAGGCCATATAGTAAATGTGCATAGACATAGGGACTTCATTCTATCTGTTTACATCTTCATATATACTCATATTCCTCTTTGTTAAACTGAGAGAACTGGCTTCCTTAACTTTATATGTCACTTTTATTTTGATGTTCGCTGAAGTCTTTTCAGCTAACAGAACTGTCATTTTTACATTTAAACACGCCCCTGGAAAGAAATTACGAAGCGAGTCGCTACTAGCTTTTTTAAAAGCTAACCTTGTTGTACCATTTAGTCCTATTTAATCAAAATTTAATTTGTTTTATTTGTAGGAAATGAAAAAGATCTTCTAATAATTGTCATTTTAACAATATACATTATAAAGAAATCATTGAATAATTTATATTTTACATATTATACATGTATAGATTAAAAACAATTATCAGAAAAAACAAATGCATGAAGTTGAAAATATAAAAACAACCTTGATCTTGTGTTACAAATGTTGATAGTTTGATATATAACCTGTTTCTGCATTGATGTAACTTAAGGTTTATAAATACCTGATTCTGTTCTATATCTCTTTGTCCCAGGTGATTCTAATTGTTATCATACCAATACATGTACTTAAACACTTTAAAGTCTTAAACAAAACAATATCTCCAAAACTGCTAAAATATCAAGGTAACATCCTCTGTAATTTGCACTCTTTCTGACCCAGATATCTTAGAATTCAAAATTTACAACAGTTACTGGACAGGTCTATCATTATGTAAAGCAGGGTTAATCTGCTCATCATTTTAACTTTTATTCTTTGAGCGTAAAAGAAAATATCAAATAGCTAATAGATATATAGATTTTAAAGATCATTACAAATTTTTGTACAAAAAAGATTGCAATGTCCTTCTAGACACATTCTTCATATGAAATTTATAATGTTATCTCTCCCCAAAATAATCACATGGAACAGCCTGATCTGAAATGACCAGTGGAGTAAATTAGTCATGCACAGATGGTTAGAAAATGCTGGTCAATGAGTTTTATCAGAGCTCTGATCTGTGTAGTGTAAAATCTCAGTGGATGTAGTATTTATTTTCCTAAATACATTGTATTGGTCAATTTAATATAGAATATATATGAGATTCTTTCATGCACTGTTATTGTTTTGTTTATTTATTTATTGTTATCCAAAAACATGAATTCTTACAATTTAAAAATGGCAAGCAATGCAATCCCATCTTGATTATTATAGTGTCTGAATGATTTAATCACAGACTTTAATTAATTTATAGTTAAACTTAAAGCCTGTAATTAAATGGATATTATTTCATTGTACATAACTTCATGTAGATTTATTTAAATAATAATATGTATTTTGAACAATCAATTCATTAATTTTATGTCTTTAGCATTATAAGACATTTTTTCTGAGATACCCTTTTTCAACTACATAAAAAGTATAAAGTGTCAAATTTCAAATCATTTACAGTAACTTGCATTAAAATAAATGATGATTGTATATTTTCTTCGTAAATTTACAATATTGTGCTGAATATATAAAGTAAGATTTCTTGTAATTTTTACAAGTTTTTTCCAGCATACTTAGAGAAAGTTTAACACATTTCCAGCATCAAAAAAATCTAAGTTCCACTTTCCATGCTACATGGAAGTAAAGTCCATGGTTTTCCAGGCTTTTACCACAAATGTCCAGCCAATTTCCAGCCTATTCCAGCAATGCTGGAAATGGCTGGACAAAAAAAGTCCACATAGCATGGAAAAAATACCAATTTTCCATGAATTTCCATGAAATTCCATGCTTTTCCATAGTTTTCCAGGGTTTACCAGCCTCTCTTCCAGGCTTACCCTGGAAAATCTACACCCGGGTAATGATAAGATAAAAATCTCTCATATTTTATCATTTTCATATCTTCATGATTTCGGATAAAACTTTTACATATTGGTGCTATGTTAATTTTTTACTTGTATAAAAAGTATTTGACTATTTACCTAAATCAGCTGTTTACACTTATTCTTTTTTCATTCTTGATTGTATTATGTAGAAGTCAGTGTGACCTTTAATTTAAATGATCTCACTATGTTGAAAGTTTGAAGTTTTCTATCCAGCAAGGAGAAAAGTTGGGCACGCAACTTCTAGGACAGCTCATGTTTCTTTTCCTTATATTTGGTAATGAATATAGTGACTTAGTATATTCAGTATTAAGTCCATTAGTGTTATGCAGTATTATTTAGCCAATTAACTATTTTGATTATTCTCATATGAACTATCATTTACATAACTGTGTTGTCTTTTCATCAGACAAAGCAAAGCTAAGAAAAGTGTGTGAAGGACGCAAATTAGAGGGAAACTATTGGAATATATCTGATGTAGAAATTGTACGTAGCATTAAAGTGGAAGGAGACCCTTCGCAGTCTATAACCAAAGACTCACTATGTCTTTATTTTGAAAATAAAAGAAGAAGTAGTGGTGGTAATGTTGAATCTGTAGAGCATCGTGAAGACCATGGTGATTTCATCGTGACTTTTGAAAAGTTCGAAGGTAAGTCTTTCTGTTAGCTGTTTGATCAATCAAAGAATTGAAGGTGAAACAATCTGGATAAAGTGTGGTCCCTCAACTTTCAGAGAAGTTTGTTTGATTTTTTTTTAGATAAACATGTACTATGCTCATCTTTGAGTAAAATATTTTTATCACAGAAATTTATTTAAATCTCTGAAATTCTTACTGAATATGTCTAATTTGAAAAAAAAGAATGAATAAACTACCCTATGTATTGAAAGTTGTGTTCACTATTATAGGTCAAGTAAAGTTATAGTCTTTTCTGAAAAAAAAAAAAAACTGCTAGTGTTTTAATGACACTATAGATTCATTTTGTGAATACCTACAATGTATAGTGTGTACAATTTTAAACTTAAAATATCTACTTTAAGTGTGAAGTTAAAACATGTTTATTTTGTATTTACAAAGAGACTGTGTAGCAATTATCAATATTTTCAAATAACAAATTTGAGCAAATATCTTTAAGTAATAATGGAACATTGTTTTCTTGTTTTGTTTTGCAAAGCCTGACCAAATGATAATGACATGTTTAAAGATGTTCATGACTAAATCATTTAGAAAAAAAATATGCGAAAGATTTAGATCTACAAAAAGCTAACTTTATAAATACGTGTCAAGTGGAAGTAATGAACAGCTTTATTACAGATGCAGAACGAGTGTGTACAGTAAGTCATAAACTTGGTGGGAAAGAAATAAAGGTTACCTTGTTTTATCCATGTTTGGAACTAGACGAGGATTTCTTCGTTCGAATACCACCACCGATACAACTTGATGGCATTGATGAGTATATTGTTAAGTATGTGTTTAAACTCAATTATATGATCTGATTTACTTTTTTTTGTTTGTTGTTTGTATGTTAGTAATAATGTATATTATATTAGTGGTAATATAGAAGCATTACATTCTCTTTAGTAAATCAAAGTGGCCAAATGGTTAACGCGTCTTACTAGTAATCTAAGGATTGCTAACCGCGTGGGTCAAACCCTGTCAAAGATAAGCCGTTGTTTCCTTGAGCAAGAAACTTTACATTCATTGCTTAGTACTGGTTGGTTTCGAGAGTGTTTCAATAAGCTTATAGCTTCCAACACAATCAAACTAAAATAAATTTGTATAAACTAAACTAAATCAGATAAAGAATCTTTCTGTTATTTGAGCGAAAAACATTTAACTATTTAATACAGATTTTTTGTTTTTTAACATTGTTTACCAACTACAAGTTTAACTTTGAATTTGTCATTTACAGAACATGATAATGTAGCTGTCATACACAATTATAGAATTTATAAAACAATAATTCACATTATGACAATGTAATGTGATTGAATTGCTTTTAATTTTCTGTATAGGTTTCTTAAATATTCCACAAAATACAAAGAGTTTTTGGAAAGCAGTTTGCAGCGCAATAACGCAAGTTTACACTGGCATACAGGAGAACAGATCTTTATGCAAGTAGAATGTACTGTTGATCCTAAGGACAAAAAAGGTCATTTAAAAGTAAAGAATTGGGCAGAGACATGTACAAAAATAGCAGTGGAAATAAGTGAAAAGTTAGCTGTTGAAAGAAGCAAGAATGTCGCCCTTGAGGTATTTATTTCTAAAATCATTTTGATTTAAATCGAAACAGTTATCGGTTCATTTTAAGTAACACCAGACAGACCGTATTTTTATCATCTGTCTACTTGTATGTCTGTCAGTGAGTGAGTGAGTGAGTGAGACTGCAAAAATCTAGATTGTGCATGCAGCACACCTTAAACTTCGTAGTTGAAAGATCTTAAAAGAATTATGGTTGTTTTCCTGACAAAAATAGCCATATTCAAGTCTGAAAAGGTGGATTCTGAGATAATAGATAAACAGTGCAGAATTTTATTTGTAGATATCTTGTTAATCATGTGTAATGTAAATTAGGTGTTAATTTGTCAGATAAAAAATCTGGTTACTATATTGTAATACCACTATCAACAGCTTATGTGTTGTACACAATAGCTTATGTGTTGTACACAATAGCTTATGTGTTGTACACAACAGCTTATGTGTTGTATGCAATAGCTTATGTGTTGTTCCCAACAGCTTATGTGTTGTACACAATAGCATATGTGTTGTATGCAACATCTTATGTGTTGTGCGCAATAGCTTATGTGTTGTATGCAATAGCTTATGTGTTGTACACAATAGCATATGTGTTGTATGCATCACCAGTGGTATGCACGTTACTGAATAGAATAGTCTTGTTACTCATGGAAGACCTTTAATTCCATTGAGTTCAATGTTGATCAATAGAGACATAAAGAAAATAGTTTATTTTTGTAATAAATGAAAACAAAAGTAAATGATAAGGATATGTAGTATTATCTGTTGTCATGTTTTTACAATAAGTGAAATATCTTTTTGTTAAATCACTGGTAAGTCAAAAATACAATCATGTTCTTGTTATATATTTCTTCCAATGTCCGATTGTGTAGCCATGTTGAGTAGTTAACAAAGCCAAAATATGCGCTTTCTCTATGTAGATTACAAATTAATAAGTATTTTATTGACCTTATTAAGCACTGGTTTCTCTTAAGGGTCATCTGCAAACGGTTTATGTTTTATTAGCTCACAAGAACCTGAGGTTTAGGATGAGCTATTAGTATCAAAGGGGTGTTGTCTGTCATCCATTGTCCATCGTCCATCATCATGCGTAAACAATCATCTTCTTTTCTGAAACTGCTGGGCAGATTTACCTCAGATTTGGTCTGTAGCATCCTTGTGACCATCACACTTAAATTTGCTCATGTCATTTTAGTTGACCCCTTTTAGGGGTAAACAGAGCTAAAAATAGAAAAACCTTTAAACTGACTTATTGAATTATTATGATAATGACCTTGACCTTCAATTGACATTGAGGTTCAAGGTCATATTTTTGAAATTTGCTTAAATTGTTATGACTGTTATTTAATTACAGATTTAATTTATACTTGGACATGACAAGAACGAAATGTTGAATATTTCTGATATGGCCTTGACCTTACATTGACCTTTACCATCAGGGACAAATTATTGAAATTGACTTAAAGTGTCATAACTTTGTTAGTTATTTATGAATTTGGTTCATTCTTGGACAAAAGAACACTTTTGACAAAACTGACAATGATGATTTATTCAAATGTGACATTGACCTTTGAATGACCTTGACCATCAAGGTCTAATATGAAATTCTAATTATGATTTGTTCAAGACCGTTATATTTTTTAGGAGTGTGCTTTACAATAATATTCTTTCCTTAATATGTTTGAACTAAGAAGTAAGAAATTGCTCTTGTGAATTCTATCTCTTAAACAAATGTTTATATTTTCTCATAGGTATGGAATGAGATGAAAGTACGTTTGGGAGAAATTGCTATATCGGATCCAGAAGCAATTGCTGTATTTCTGGAAAACAGTGACTGCAAAATTGTGTTGGCAGGAGAAAAGACAATTGTACAACATTTGACTAAACAGATTGAGGACATCATTGAAGAAATAGAGAATGATTTGGAAACAAAGCGTCAAATTATTACAAAAAAGAGACAATTAAAACATTATGAAATGGCATTAATTCGTGCGTCTAGAATTGAGACATCTTTAAAGAATAAGCTTGCAGAGTTTGTTATTAACAACGAGCAAAGAGAGGTTTTTTGCAAGGTAAAAATTAAAATGTTTTTTGTAGATTTTAACAATTTTCGTGCATTAAGTTAATATGTGAAAAAATATTAGAATAGCAATTTTATAAACTCACTTATGCTATATTACTATAGAACTATAGTATCATTGTATTGTCTGAATATGTAAAAAATACGAGGGTTGTTCAAAAAGTAATAGGACTGCAGCTCTACTGTTCACATTTTTTAATTTACGTACGCAGTTTTACATATATCGGAACATGTTCTTTATATACAGTAAAAAATTCAATTCAAAATGTTAACAAATAAAAATTCTGTGAAATTTTCAAATGACAAGGGGTACGAATTGCGGCGCACGCTAACAATACAATAATTGATGTTCATGACGTCGTTAAATAAATAGAAATTGTAACAAGCATCATTCTTTCTGAAAGTAGTTTCCCTAGTCTCTAGGTGTATGAATCATGTAATTTTTACTTTGCCTCATATGTGGAGATGAAGCAAGAAAAATGTGATCACATTCTCGTTCCACTGTTTCAAAAAAAAATGCCCGATAGCCGGCCATTCTCTGGTTTTTCTCGTGTTTTTGAGTAACCTTGGAACTTAGTAGGACTTTAAATTTTAATGCAAAAGCAATTTATGTTATTAATTTACTCATGTCATCGTATGGTTTTAAAACAATATCATTATATACAGAAAAATAACAATATTTATCAATTGAAAAGTATCCTTTTGCTACTTAGCACAGTCTATCATTATCAATACAAGTTTTGGGAAAACACTACCAATTATTACCGTTAATTATTTCTTTAATTTATTGATTACACGTATATCTACTTAAATACAAAACAAGTAGTTATAACAAATGGCTTATTTACAATCATTTCCTTAAAACAGAACAAGTAGACCTGAAGAAGATACAAACAACGAGAAACAGTTCGCATACTGTTTACCGTGGATTCTTTTGTAGCGCTTTTGAAATTGACGTCACTAACGTCCACTTAATTTTCAACTTTTATCCTCGCCGCCCTTTCCCGTTAGTGATTTTGCATTTGCAGTTTTTGAATTGCTTGTGCCAGCTGACAACGAGTGTCCTGATGGCATGATAATTGTCCTTTGTTAATTTTACCATTTTGTGTGTATCTGAATGATTATAGTCAATATGTTGGCAAAATTTAACGATCGCACACATTTTCTGTTTGTTTACAAATGTCATATTTCTACATCTCACTCGGTCACCGCGGCTGCTGTTCAAAACTTAATTAATAGGCCATTTCATGTCCGAATGACGTCAAATTTGGACATAATGTCACATAAGTATATTTCAATGTTTTGATGGAATTCAGGGAAAAGCAGATAGTTATTTATGAATAAATTAGAAGTACAACGTAGCTCCAATAACTATATTTATGTGCTGCACCGGGTGCGTGTAACAATGGTTATTCAATAGCAAAGGAAAAACGCGTTTAGCACAATAGATTAAAAAAAATATGTTTGAATTGTAGAAAAACATGTTACGATTGCTGTACATATGAAAATATTCTAAATTGAATGAAATTTGAATACGCAAGACTCCCAGTCCTATTACTTTTTGAACAACCCTCGTAATTAAGCATTTTAGCAAATTCTTTTGATCTTCATCACATTGTTAATTGATAGAAAATGGTCGATTTAGTTGTATTGAACGTGATTATAGATATTGCCCATTTTGTGAATTTGTACAAGAAAACAAGTACCATTTTGTACTTATTTGTCCATTCTACTCTAATATAAGACACACATACATGATTGACTCCTTCTGGAAATATCCTCATATATTACATATTCTAATCTGATGTCATTTGAACATACTCAGTATTGATATCAACTTTTCGATATATACAGTAGCGCTGAGAGAAAGAGATCAATTTTTGTCTATGTTTAAATAGTTAGTGCCTATACTATTTCTATGGTAAATGTTGTCATTTTGTTAAACATATCATCTTGTATTTAGATTCATAAAATGCACCTGAAAATTGTATGCCAATTGTTTGTGTAGTCTGATATTTTAAGAACCCCCACAAAAGGCACAACAACAACAACAACAACAAAACCACCAACAATAACATCAACAGCAGCAACGGAAAAAGAAAACAACAACAATAAAATAAATGAGCCGCGCCATGACAAAACCAACGTAATGCGTTTGCGACCAGCATGGATCCAGACCAGCCTGCGCATCTACGCAGTCTAATCAGGATCCATGCTGTTCACTTTAATACAAACAAACCCTATAACAAGTAGAGAAACTGATAGCGAACAGTATGGATCCTGATCAGACTGCACGGATGTGCAGGCTGGTCTGGATCCATGCTGATTGCAAATGCATTACGTTGGTTTTGTTGTGCTGTGGCTCAATTAATGTATATATCTATACATACAATAAGACTGACATAAGAATGTACAATAAGTTACGGTGAACGAGCAAAATGAGTACACAGGTGCTTCATATTGCCTCCTTGTGAATGAGCAAAATGAGTACACAGTCGTTTTATATTGCCTCCTTGCATTCTATACTAGTCTTATTTTTCTAGACATTGTTGAAAGATATAAACATATTTTATTAAAACTGTCAGACTAAGTTAACCAATTTTCTTGTTTTAATTTTGATTTTAGGGTATGCAGAAAGACGTGGAGGAAGCACTTTCAAAAATAGATAAAACATTAAAGTCGTTTGTGAAGAAAGCAGTACCAGGTTTGAAACATTGTAAAAATATTAATAGAAATTTTGAATTTTAACGAATTGGACAATATATTAATTTAAACAAGCTTAACCAAATTTATATTTTCTTCAAAATTTTTATATTCATATAAATATTATAATCTAATTATTGAAATACTGAGTGTAACAAAATCATGTATGATACATTGTTTGATAATTTCAGGAATGTCCAAACTAGCGATCGATTTACTTTTTAAGAAAGAGGCTAGGGATTTAGTGAAGAAAAAGATGATAGAGAGAAAGGTTATAGGTGTTTGGGATACAGTGCGTGGTTCTGGTCTTTTTATGTACAGTAAAAATGACAAAGATCTAGATTTAGCTATAGATATACTGGAAACCTCTGTCAAAATGGACTCTATAGCTCTTGATTCAGAAAAGAGGGACATCCTTGATAGTAAAGATGGTAAAGCGAAACTAGCAGAATTGGAGGAAAATAACAGCGGCTGCATCATTTTCGCGTTAATGCCAGAGGAACTTCGTTTTGTTTGTGTAGATGAGTTGTACAAAGAAGTGAAAGATGAGTTTACCAAACTTTTTGATCTTCATTCATTAGTTTCTAAGCCTGTGCCAACAGAATTTGGAATTTTAGAATATATTAGAAAATACAAAAGACGAGAGATAGAAGCTATTGAAAACCAGTTTAAGCGCTTGGCAGTAGAGATTGCACTGAAAGAGAGTAAAAGGAATCCTGGGTTTATTGTGAAGGGAAAAAAGGATGGTTGTATACTTGCCATAACTAAAGTACAATCACTGATAGATCTGGTTGTACACAAAGATCATGCAGTATCTTGGCCAGGTTTTGACAAATTTATTAAAAGCAACGAAGGGAAAGATTGCATACATATGATTGAAATGAATGAAAAATGTGTGATTAAAGTTTCTTCTGAAGATCTTAGTTCTGAATTAGGTAAGAATGAAACATTTTTCCTTTAAACACTTCATTGTTTTTAGTTATGCCCCATTCAAGTATATCCTCACTATTACACTCCTTGTAAAAGTCAGAACATATACTTCTAACTTATCAAAGTCTTGTTCATAGGACGTACTTTGCTAGAACAATTAGATTCCATTCATTTCCTAAGCTCCCTATCACTCTTCCCCATAAGGTGGTTATTGACGGGGTTGGAACTGACTTGTGCATTTACATGTACCAAAAATTTTAAAGATCCTGTATGTTGTGATCAAAGTGGTTTACCACACTAAGTGAAATTATATATATGTACATAATTATGCAAATAAAACAATTTTCAAACATCGCAGAATATTTAAAATATGAACTTCAAATATTTGTGCATATTATATGTAATCATTAAAATATATGCATTAATTTCTTATTGTAAACTTTGACTTAAACTTTATAGAAAATAAATTTTTTATTACCTCCCTTTATTTACATGAAATGTTAAATTCTGTAATATCTTTATAAATAATGCTTTTTTGAATCTATAATATTGATAAATCTTAATTTGAGCATCATATTTATAGAAAACTGATGTAAAGTGCTAATATTTTATTAAGAATTCTGCATCACCAAGTTTATTTTTTTTTTTATTAGACAGAAAGTATTATCAAGTGTTGTCTAAGTAATTAACTAATCTCAACCTCAAAAATACATATTTTTCAGGTAGAGAGTTATATGCATGACTAATTTACAAAAATAATGTTCCTTTCTTTTGTTTTGTTAGAAAGTACAGTGTATAGAAAACCACGCTCTGAGGAGCAGAAAAACAAAGAAAAACAGAGAAAGATTACCAAAGAGGTTAAGATTGGAACGCTAGCATTAGAAAAGGTTAAACAATTATTTGCTTGGGTTTCCAATTTGAGACCAAACGAAGTTTAAATACAAAACCCACTAAATTGGCATCAAATGTCTTAAAGAATTACCAACTTCAAACAAGCAGAACTCTATGATAAATTTAATTTATTTAGATCATTACTGGAACATTTTCCTTGTATTTTCTTTCTTTGTTTTGTTATATTTTTGTAATACATTTTGTATTTTTCAATTTTCTTTTAAAGCAATGAGATAATCTGATTTCATCAAGTATGTTTATCTATTACGGGCTTACACGTTAAGAATGATTTAAGATCTATCCTGGTTTAGCACTTAAGTTATGAAACATTGTTATTACCGAAGTTTATATTACAAGTTTATCTATGTGATATTATTTTATATATGAATTTTTTATTGAACTTTCTGCAGTTTTTGAAATTTTGTCATGAGATATTTCATATTCAGGTTGATGTAATTGTGAACTCCACCAACAAAGATCTTGATATGTCTCTTGGGGCAATATCTCGTTCGTTACTGAAAGTAGGCGGTGACGCTATAACACAGGAATGTAAGACAAAGTATCCTGATGGGATAAAGCCTGGTCGGTTGGCTGCAACTACTGGCGGGTCATTGGCATGTGCAGAAATTTTTCACGGACTTCTTGTTAAATGGGATGGCGGACAAGGACATGCGGAAAATGTTTGTCTTTTTTATATAATAAACAGAAAGTCTTCTTTAGATTAACTTATTCTTATAAGGGTAGATCGCTGATTAGCAATACAAAAAGATGAAAAGGTGAAAGATACTTGCTCTATTTTATCTTTATTTTCCTTAGGGTAATTAATTCATATAAGTGTAGATCGCTGATTAGCAATACAAAAAGATGAAAAGGTGAAAGATACATGCTTTATTTTATCGAGTCTGTTCGTAAGACACCACGCAACATCTATTAGTTTTAAAAATGTGTATAATGTTAATTCTCTGGAAAATTAATTTACAGTGTTATTCAATTTCTTTAACAAATATTTAACTAAAGTACAAGACTAAAGTAAAATATTTGTTAAATCTTTCACTTTAACAATTTGAGAAAACATTTTAAAAAAGATGTGTGTAAATTGTCAAAATAATATATCTATGTGCAAGTGTTACATATAACAGTGCAACATAAGTATTTTATCAAAGAATAATTGTCTTTTCAAATGATGTTGTATATCGAAAATAATTTATTAACCCTGTTATAGAAAATCATCTCAAATACGATATAGGCTGGATATACTAAATAACAAGTACAAATACATTACAACATAGAATTAATTTAATTTGTTCATTTTGTCTAAAATCATTAAGTATTTTAATTGTTATTTTTGTATAATCTGCTCAAGGTGATGGAAACCTTTGTGAGGAGTTGTCTTGCCCTGGCGCATACGCATAATTATTCTTCAATAGCGTTTCCAGCTCTAGGGACAGGTGCGCTGGGGTTTCCAGCAGATGTTGTTGCTAATATCATGTTTAATACAGTGGACGCTTTTGAAGCCAGATACCCTGACACAAGTTTGAGATTGGTTCGGTTTGTTTTGTGGTCAGAAGACAGAGTTACTGCCAAGGTAAATATCTGACACACTATAGTAAACTGTGTAAACATTTTAACGGAGTTTTTATAAACTGATATGAAACTTTGAATTTTCACTTAAGACATAATAAAAAATGTGTAATCAATTTTAAATATTAATTTTATAAGAATTTATGGTATTCATATCTCAACTTTCTTTATTCATTAAGCCATAATAAGTAAAATGAAACAACGAAAATTCTACGGCAGATGCACCAACCTTAAACACTATTATTATTAATGTTCGCGTTTTCTTCAGCTGTAAGAAATATACTTGAACATGTTAATTTAACAACTCACAGGCTTTTAAAGACGTCGAGTCGAAATCAGGTGGCACAAAAAGACCAAGTAGTGCATTATATAATTACAGCCGATCGGAAACTGCCGAAGAAGTAATTGTCAAAAGTAAGTTAGTTATTTTGGTTTGATTGATAATTGTCATTTAAATGCATATATGTTTTATGTATTTGAGTTGGAATTTTATATGGGAATAATGAATCCAGACGAATGATTGTTAATTTATTATGGGGTCATGATTGTTAATTTATTATGGGGTCAGTTAATTTAATACAGAATCTAAATGAATTGCAAGCTGATAAAGGTTACCATCCATGAACAGGCTCGATCAAGCATTGCAACATTTTCAATTTTGCCATGTTAGGCTTTCTTTAGGGATTCTTATTTTCTCTATTTTGTTAACAAACAGCAGAATGTCTGTATACACAAAAGGGATTCTGTTTTTCTCTATTTTGGAGTATGTGTATCTAAATGGTTAGCCACTGTATAATATGAAAGGAAATATCAACAAGGGTGAGCGACATTCACTAAGAGCTGTCTCCCATGGAACACATGAGGCTTTAAAAAGCTGCATTCATACTCTAATTACCAAGTTTGTCCAAATCATGATTCTTGGGTCATAATTGGTTTTGAATAGATTCATAGAAAAAAGATATTGTTGTCATGTTATCTTTTACCTACTCTTCCAAATCTTAATGTCTACAGCTTAGATATTTGAGTGAATCATTTTCTATCTTTACCTTAATCACGGTCCTTTAAAATTCTTCTAGCCTAGCTTGGTCCTTAGATACTTTGTGTAAGGCATTTTCTATTTCTTAAATCGCTCATTGGCAATGTATTTTCAGAAAAGTGGTCTAGGTTCAACTTGACCCCATTGCTCTTGTTCTTGTTAACTATGTATATTAGAGAAAACAGAATCCATAAAAAACACCCAAAACGACAAAATGTTGAAGGCTTGTTTTGGGTGAGCCTGTAATTTAATTAGCTCTTATACATGTATGGTGGACATTTCTAGTATTTCCTAAGAAATGTTGATAGATAGTTAAGTAAAGATGAATACTTTAGGAGATAAAATGATTTCTTTTTTATGCCCCCGCCATATGATGGCTGGGGCATATAGTGTAACCCTGTTCAGTCATTCCGTCCTTCTGTCATCTGTTTCCGTTCATTATCTTAGTAACGGTTGCACACATTCACCTCAAATTTAAATATGGATATGCCATGAGAAAATACAGGTCAAGTTTGAATTTTGTCATGGTTCGATGATTTTTGGCAGAGTTATACCCCTTTTACTTTTCAGTAAATTTTCAGTTCCCATTCATAACCTCTCCAACAGTTGTACATATTCAACTCAAATTAAAAATATGGATATGTCATAGAAATGCAATGGTCAATTTCAAATTTGGTCATTGTTTGATAATAGCTGACAGAGTTATCCCTCTTGAACTTTGAAAAAAAATCAGAAATTTTAAGTTTCCGCTCATTATCTCCCCAATGGCTGTACACATTCAACTCATTTGACATAAAGATACATCTGAGGAATAAGCAGTTCAAGTTTGAATTTGGTCGTGGTTAAATGATTTTGAACAAAATTATCTTTCTTGTATGTTGAACATTTTTTAAATTTTCAGTTTCAGCACTCATACTTTTGTGGAAATGTATGTAGCCATTATTTTGGCTACAAATATGCAAAATGCAATTTACAAAAGGTTAACACTGAATAGTTTCAGTGCCTTGAACTTTGTATAAAAATGATTTGTGTTCACATTGAATAGTTTTAAGGGCTTTGAACTTAAAATGAAAAAAATAATTTGTGCAAACAATTTTGGAACTAAATGTTATAACATCTGAAATTTTGGCTGCATGCGGGGGCATCTGTGGCATGACGACACATTTCTTGTTTTATATGCACATTGAATTGCTAAGACATTTTCAGTTGATTATTTTTTGTCATATTTTCTCATATTAAGATAAAGGTTATAGCACAACGGTAGGTTCTGTGACAGTGAGTATTGTAAAAGATGATCTGACCACATTAACGTCTGGAGCGATTGTAAACAGTACAATGGACGATCTAAATTTAGACAGTGGTGCCATCTCTAGGGCAATCCTTATAGCAGCAGGGCAGACAATTCAACGAGAGGGTATTTACTTATACAGTCAATAAAGTTTATTTACAAATTTTTAGTTACTTTTGTCAACAAAAGCAAATCATCGATGTGTCATTTCATGCATTAAATGAACCTTAGATTGCAGAACTTGCTTATCTTTTGAATTGCTTTTCCATTTTCAGCTTTATTTACATTTTTGGTTGACTAATAGTTATGATAATGTTCACCGGAATTATAATATACCTATATTTTTAAATCTTCATAATTGTTAAACATGACAAATTCTACTTTGACTGGGCCATTAAGAATAGAAATTTATGAAATAATCTAATTTTTTAATCTTATTTCTAGATATGTTTTGATGATGTTAATCATGTCATTTATGTGGTTTCATTTTTATTAAAGAAGGAAATTATGTGTTCATCTATATGTATTTTAGCACTGGCAAAACGAGAATACTTTTTAGCGAATGGCTTAGTTGTGACTGGGCCTGGAAAATTAATGTGTCAGTCAATCATCCATGTTAGGGCAAGAAACACTTTAAACACGTGGGCAGATACTATTTGGAAATGTTTGAGTGTGGCAGAGCAATTAGGTTTAAACTCAATTGCCTTCCCAGCACTTGGAACAGGTACTGTTCAGGATTTATGTTTCCTTCTTTGTGTTATTACCAGTACTGGTTTCCTAGCAGTTTCCGTCCCCTAGCAGTTTTCCGGCCGTTTATCATTTTCGTCCAGTCAGTCTATTTTTACCGGCAAGGCATCCTCATTATTTCATCAATCAGAGAGACATTTGTTTTCTATGCTAAACAGCGTTTAAAATAGTACAACGATTAATATGTTTTGAAGTTTTGCCTGTTATTTAAAGTTGCATAAGAGAACTTGCGACTTTCAAAAATAACCAACACCTGGGGAATTCTAGTTTGAATATCCATGAGCAATAACTAAGACTCCATTTTAGGTAAATCAATACTTCGGAAAACATTTCTGCAGATGACACGGAAAAGGTTGGGAAGTTCTGTTTGTCTGATAAAACCACCTTAACATTGCTTTATGGTACAGAATTATATTCAAAATAAAAAAGGTCCGGAAAACTGCTATGAATTTTTGAATAAAGGTGAAAAAAGGTGATACGTTTCAGGCCTGTATTCAAATTAAAAAGTAAAATGAAAGTGCAACATTAAACACATGGCAATGCTGGACAGATACCTAACTTTGTTCTGTCAATTTTTGTACCCCTCCGTAAACTGATTTTTATTTTATTTGTTAAAAAGTGCAATTTATGGCCGGAAACTGCTAGGAAACCAGTATATAATGGTAATTTTTATGATTCCTTTTTGTAACTTCTAATTTGTATTGTTGTAAGTATTTCCCTTTCACATGAATTTATGAACTTAGCCGTGACAATTTTGCACTTATGTAATATATGTTGTAGCAAAGAAAGCATTACATTTTACTTTGATGAGTTGCATATATATGATTGTCTTTTATAGTGTTAATGAAGCTGGTGTATGTGGGACAAGGTCATTATATTGAGATGTTGATATATACTTTAGACTTGAAAATTGAAGTACATTTTCAAATGTTAGCATCTAAATGAAAGTAAATTTATTTCTCCAATATCTGCATCTGTGTAAACTGTTTGAATGAGAATTTTTGTGAGAGACATCATAATTATATCTAAAATGTACGATAAGGATAGGAATACTTTCACTTCTAAATTAACCCACACTAAAATTTATTTAAACAAAACCATATCAATCAAGACTATAACAGTCAGTTTATTGTCCGAATGTATTGCCAAAAAATAAATAAAATGAAATTGCGGAATGTCATGACTGATTTTTTCATTTAAGATTATTCAGTTTGTTTATATTTCATAAACAATTAATCTGAAACTATGAAAACATCTTTTTTAAGTTCCATCAAATTTTGTTATTGCAGCTTTTTGTTGCTCTGACACTTTAGTTGTTCATGTTGAAGGTACACTTGTGTAGATACGCTTTGAATTCGATGAATTCATCCCTTCAAAAAATAAATTATCTTTCATAGTCAATCAGAATAAACAAACACAACACTTTGCTTATCAAAAATTCAGGTGGAAAAGGCGTGGCTCCTGAACGAATGGCTAAAACTATGATTGAAACGTTCCAAAATTACATAAAATCTCAAGACTTTAAAAGATGTATAAAAACAATCAGAGTTGTCATATTTGATGAGAAGATGCTAGAATTGTTCATATCGGAAATAAGAGCAATCATGGAACCAGACAAGGCACCAAAAAAGAAAGGCTTTTGTAAGTATTTTCAATCAAATATGACATTATCACTTGAAGGTAATCAAATTAGCATCTTCTCTAATATGAAATTAGGCAAAGCCTATGAACGGGGAAGTCGTTAAAATTTTTTTTCATTCTTTCCGTTTTAAAGGTGTCATTCGATATTTAATGCATCGCTTCCGTTTTCACTCGGAACACTCGGCGATTATTATAAATCCGAAAAGTTGAGTATTGTTCCGTTATCGGAATACCCCGCCTATTATCTTTGAGTTACATTGTAAATGGCGGCGCCCGACTAGAACTGACACTGAAATTTCATTGATAGGTATAGAATTTTATATATTTTTGGCCGGGTTGCACAGGTGCAAACCCGGGTTATAGTATGGTGAATGTCGGGCGGCGGGCGGGCGGTGGGCGGCGGGCGATTGGTGAAAAAATTTTCGTAAAAGTTTTCTCAGCAACTACTTATCACAGCCTCATGATATTTGTTATACAGCATTGACACATGGTCCCATACCGTGGGATTCGATTTCAGGTCTGTCGCTCATCCACTTCCTGTTTATCCACTTAGTTAAATTAGTTAGATTTTTCAACATCAATGGTAGGAAATTTTCGTAACAGTTTTCTCAGCAACTACTTATCACAGCCTCTTAATATTTGGCATACAGCATTGATACATGGTCCCATACTATGGGATTCGATTTCAGGTCTGTCGCTCATCCACTTCCTGTTTATCCACTTAGTTAAATTAGTTAGATTTTTTGACATTAATGGTCAATGGTAGGAAATTTTCGTAACAGTTTTCTCAGCAACTACTTATCACAGCCTCTTGATATTTGGCATACAGCATTGACACATGGTCCCATACGGTGGGATTTGATTTCAGGTCTGTCGCTCATCCACTTCCTGTTTATCCACGTAGTTAAATTAGTTAGATTTTTCAACATCAATGGTAGGAAATTTTCGTAACAGTTTTCTCAGCAACTACTTATCACGGCCTCTTAATATTTGGCATACAGCATTGATACATGGTCCCATACTGTGGGATTCGATTTCAGGTCTGTCGCTCATCCACTTCCAGTTTATCCACTTAGTTAAATTAGTTAGATTTTTTGACATTAATGGTCAATGGTAGGAAATTTTCGTAACAGTTTTCTCAGCAACTACTTATCACAGCCTCTTGATATTTGGCATACAGCATTGACACATGGTCCCATACCATGGGATTCGATTTTAGGTCTGTCGCTTATCCACTTCCTGTTTATCCACTTAGTTAAATTAGTTAGATTTTTTGACATTAATGGTCAATGGTAGGAAATTTTCGTAACAGTTTTCTCAGCAACTACTTATCACAGCCTCTTGATATTTGGCATACAGCATTGATACATGGTCCCATACTGTGGGATTGGATTTCAGGTCTGTCGCTCATCCACTTCTTGTTTATCCACTTAGTTAAATTAGTTAGATTTTTTGACATTAATGGTCAATGGTAGGAAATTTTCGTAACAGTTTTCTCAGCAACTACTTATCACAGCCTCTTGATATTTGGCATACAGCATTGACACATGGTCCCATACTGTGGGATTTGATTTCAGGTCTGTCGCTCATTCACTTCCTGTTTATCCACTTAGTTAAATTAGTTAGATTTTTCGACATTAATGGTCAATGGTAGGAAATTTTTGTAAAAGTTTTCTCAGCAACTACTTATCACAGCCTCTTGATATTTGGCATGCAGCATTGACACATGGTCCCATACTGTGGGATTTGATTTCAAGTCTGCAGCTCATCCACTTCCTGTTCACATTAATGGTCAATGGTAGGAAATTTTCGTAACATTTTTCTCAGAAACTACTTAAATCACAGCCTCTTGATATTTGGCATACAGCATTGACACATGGTCCCATACTGTGGGATTCGATTTTAGGTGTGTAGCTAATCCACTACCTGTTTACCTCCTGAATTAAATTTTCGACATTAATGGGTCAATGGAAATTTTTTTTCGTAACCTCACAGCCTCATGATATTTGGTGTACAAATGCAACCCGGCCTTTTCTGTCTTTGACCCATTTTTTAATTGTTCTTTTATTTGATTTTCTTTTAAATATACACGTGTTGTCTATAGCCGGGCAAGCCAAAGCCCGGGCCCGCGAAGCTTCGCGGGCCCGGTCTTTGACTTCCCCGTATTAAGCCACAGACGAGGTAAGATATTTTACTGAAATTTTAAAATTCACAATTACATAACAAATGGTATTGTGCTTACTTATTTAAATAATCATTAAGATGAACATTTTTTTTTGTTTTGAATACTTGTGTTCTGTAATTTATATTTTGTTGTGTTTATAATTTATTTTTTTTTCCTAAAAACAAAACGAAATGTTGATTATGTAATGGATTGAAAGTTTGACATTTGAAAAATTTCTCCTTGTGACTTGATCACAACTTAAAGTAACAAATATGACATGCATTCTTTGTTTTATGATTATCTTTGTCTAATGTACTTAGAATGAACCTTGAAGAGGAGCTCGAACCTTGAAGAGGTTATCGGATCATGTGTTTAGGTCAACAACGATCAAAGCCCCTGAGAACGAGGCGTTTTTTTCGTATGTAGCGCATTTTGTCTTATTTTCAGTTTCAGATTTAAAGTTTTGGGAAAAAACACCCCAAGTAACAGCACCAGTGCCAAGAACTACGTTTCATATATACTGTGAATCTAAATATCAGATTGATAGAGTTGCTGAGAAGGTGGATAAAATTCGCAGAGAAAACGATGTGTTTGTTAAGAAGGATGTATTTGACCAAATGGAAGAAACTCAGGTACAGTATTCTTACTTTTATAACATTTTGATGTACATGAAATTGTGTATTATACATACAATAAAAATACAACCCATACTATAGCATTTAAACAATTAGATTTACAGTATCAATATTTTAACAGTACATTGTATTTATACTTAGATACGGGTATACAGTATCCATATCAAAACATTTATGACTCTTTAGTGTGGAGTTTTTAGCTCACCTGTCACAAAGTGACAGGGTGAGCTTTTGTGATCGCTTTTCGTCCGGTGTCCGTCCGTCCAGCTTCCGTCCGTCCGTCCGTAAACTTTTACTTTAAATGACATCTCCTCATAAACCACTAAGCCAATTTCATCGAAACTCCACAGGAATGTTCTTTGGTGGTCACCTTTAAAAATTGTTCAAAGAATTTAATTCCATGCAGAACTCTGGTTGCCATGGCAACCGAAAAAAAACTTTAAATATCTTCTTTTAAAAAACCCAAAGAGCTAGAGCTTAGATATTTGGCATGAAACATCTTCTAGTGAGTGTCTACCAAGATTGTTCAAATAAAAGCCCTGGGGTCAAAATTGGCCCCGCCCAGGGGGTCATTGATTTTCCCTATACGCATATAATAAATACTTAAAGAATCTTCTTTTAAAGAACCCAAAGAGCTAGAGCTAAGATATTTAGCATGAAACATGTTCTAATGGGTGTCTACCAAGTTTGTTCAAATAAAGGCCCTGCCCAGGGGGTCATTGATTTTCCCTATATGCATATAGTAAAAACTTAAAAAATCTTCTTTTAAAGAACTCAAAGAGCTAGAGCTTAGATATTTGGCATGAAACATCTTCTAGTGAGTGTCTACCAAGATTGTTCAAATAAAAGCCCTGGGGTCAAAATTGGCCCCGCCCCAGGGGTTCATTGATTTACCCTATATGCATATAGTAAAAACTTAAAAAATCTTCTTTTAAAGAACCCAAAGAGCTAGAGCTAAGATATTTAGCATGAAACATCTTCTAATGAGTGTCTACCAAGTTTGTTCAAATAAAAGCCCTGGGGTCAAAATTGGCCCCGCCCCAGGGGGTCATTGATTTTCCCTATATGCATATAGTAAAAACTTAAAAAATCTTCTTTTAAAGAACTCATGGAGGTAGAGCTAAGATATTTAGCATGAAACATGTTCTAATGGGTGTCTACTAAGTTTGTTCAAATAAAAGCCCTTGGGTCAAAATTGGCCCGCCCCAGGGGTCATTGATTTTCCTTATTTGTGTATATCAAAAACTTAAAAAAATCATCTGTGAAAAAACCCAAATAGCTAGGTTTTAGATAATAAGCATGAAACATCTTCTAGTGTGTGTCTACAAAGTTTGTTCAAATTAAAGCCCTGGGATAATAATTGGCCCCGCCCTGGGTGTCATTGATTTTCCTTATACAGTTGACTCTCAATAAGTCAAACTCGCTTTACTCAAAATTCCGCTTGAGTCGAAGAATTTCTAAAGTCCCGTCAAATTTCCTTCTTTATCTTTGTATTTTAACTCCGCTTAGGTCAAATTTTGACTTACCGAGACTCCTGTTTAGTCGAAAAGAAAATTTGGACCCGTCAATTAAAGTCCAACATATTTTCATCTCAATTAGTCGAAGTGTGAAATCAGCCGACTGATCAAAGGTCAGAGACATCAAGGTGAGATGTTGTCACTCGTGATTAACACGTTTCATAGAAATTTTTAATTTACGGTCATCATGTATTATTAACACGTCGTATAAATGGCTTTAATCCGTTTCAGCACTTAATTGGTTTTAACAGTTAGATAACTAAATTAAAATTTGATTAAATTTCTTTAAGAAAGTTGACTCGTGCCAGTCTGACGGGTGTTAGTCAAATAACAGCCTAGGTATTGATGTGTGTTATCAACGTAAATAACATTTGTATAATTAATGTTCCGTCATTTTGCATACATTAATTTGTACTTCCAGTTCACGATAGTTGCTACTTTCGTTTACGTCCGATGATCAATTAAATCAAATATAATTGTGTGTTTATGTTTCACAATTAATATACATGTATTAAATTTTGAATGATATATTTTTGTTTATTTATAATTCGTAGTTGTAAGTGATTTACCGTCATTTCAACGGTTAAATATTGCAGCATTGTCGCTAACAACAATAACAAACCTACTTCTTTGCACATTTTATCAGGCACATGTATATACATGTACGAATGTCAGCGTAATGGCGGCAGTTCCACGTTACTCGAATTCCGTTTCTCTCGAAGTAAAATGCCCAGTCCCTTGGATTTCGAGTTACCGAGAGTCAACTTTATGTGTATAGCAAAAACTTAAATCTTCTTTGAAAAAACCCAAATAGCTAGAGTTTAGATATTAAGCATGAAACATCTTCTAATAAGTGTCTACAAATTTTGTTCAAATAAAAGCCCTGGGGTCAAAACTGGCCCCGCCCCAGGGGTGTCATTGTTTTTAACTATATGTGTATAGTAAAAACTTAAAAAAATCTTTATAAAAAACCCAATGAGCTAGAGCTTAGATGTTTAGCATGAAACATCTTCTTATGGGTGTCTACCAAGTTTGTTCAAATAAAAGCACTGGGGTTTAAACTGGCCTATATACAGGTGAGCGGCCTCAGGGCCATCATGGCCCTCTTGTCATAGTTTTATGATAAATTATGACATTTTGGCTTATTATATCCATATTTTAACAAATATGAACTCAAATATTTTTTTTTATCTATACTGTATTAAATACAACCCAAAATATTTGGTTTATTATTTATCCATTCTTTAACAAATATAACCCGAAAGATTTGGCTAGTTGTATATATACATTAGCAAATATAACTCAAAATATTGTGTTTATTGTATCAATACTGTAGCAAATGTTGCCCAAAATGTTTGGTTGATGTATCCATAATTTAAGAAATATAACCTGAACTATTTTGTTTATTGTATCTATACTGTACGAAATAAAACTTAAAAGATTGAAAAACAAAATCATACTATAACAATTAATAATATCTAGATTTACCATATCCTTAAAAACACACAGTGTTAGGTGTGCAGTATTCTATAAATTTACAGTATCCATACAAAGTCAATTATAACTTTCTGGTGAACAGTATTCATACTTTTAACTACTATGATATATAATAAGACTTTGGGGTACTGACCTTAAAGAAGTCAGTGTGTGATATTACATTTAGATGAACAGTACCCATACTTTAAGTATAATAACACTAAGATGTATACAATACAAGGCAATACAATGTATTAGCAGAATCTTGTTCTGGTAAATCTCATGATATATTTTTTTCTCTCATAGATTTTAAAAGTGAACTGATTAAAAAGTGATATGCTCAAAATGTGATTTACTGATTTTTGAAACTTTATAAAAGTATGTTATTTTCTCTGCGCCATTAAGGCTCAATTGTGTATATTGTAATCTTATTTTATTGTTGCCATTTAATTTTTTGTACTTTAAAACATGTTGTTATTATTTTTAGAAATCAGATTTAAAACGTATTGGATTTTCAAATGGAGTCAAGGTTGTTGTCGGGAAGACAAGAGTTACTGTCCTTGGATATGGTAATGCAGCTGACACTGCAACTAAAAAAATTGAAGTATATATTGACGGCTTTGAGAGGGATATCAGAAAGGGATACTCATCTAGTGCTGGTAAGAATTTGATAACTTGATGACCATTAAATATATGAGGCGCACCATGAAAAAACCAACATAATGGGTTTGCGACCAGCATGGATCCAGACCAACCTTCACATCCGCGCAGTCTGATCAGGATCCATGATGTTCGCTTACAAACCCTATAACAAGTAGAAAAACTGATAGCGAACAGCATGGATCCTGATCAGACTGTTTTAAATGTTATATACACAAAGTTTTGATTTAAATTTCAATCACAATTATTCTATAAAACAACCATAATAATATCTGTCATATGTTGCGGTTCGGACTGGAATATCCATCCCATGGGCGGGTTCCCTAGTGACGGACATTCCGGTCCGAACTGCAATCATATGCCAGATAATTTTTCTTGCATATTCTGCCATATTATTTCATATTTAAAATGGTTTACCTGGATATGATATATGTGCATGGAAATTAAAGTCATTTCATCCAAAACTATTTTCTTACAATAGCGTATGAACTTACAACTTAAATAACAACGGCGAAATGATGTCATCCTAAGCAATATTTTTCTTCTAAAACGACGTCGTTTTAACTCAGTTCATTCATAAAGTGCGCTTAAATGACGTTGTTTGGCACACGACTCGTCTGGCACCCCCCCATGCCAGATGAAATTTCTGGCATGGGTAAAAATCATGGAAGCGCCAGTCTACTATGCAAGAATAAGTGTTTTGTCATTGTCACACACATATATGTACTGTTTTAGTTAAACTCCCTAAAAGTTGGACAAAAATGAAGCTGACAGATCCTACAGCAACTGTGATGCTGCTTCCTGGAGATCAGGACATGGTCTGGGTGTCACAGAAATTCCAGGTGGAGTCAGGTATTCCATCAACCAACATTGTCAAGGTAACTTGAATTGACTGAAATCAAATACTTTTGACTCATAAACGTAATCTGTACAGATGAGTATTCCGTTGACCTCTTATTAATTTTGTAATCACTGTAAATAGTTTTTTGGATAGGTAAAAAATAATATTTCAATGATGTAAAATGTAATTTGGATTCAAATGTTCAATGGTGAACATAGTTATATTAATCACTAAGTTATGTGCATATAAATGTTTATTTAATTTTACCCATGAAATATGGTCCTACATCAGCCAACTTTATATCATATTTGTAAAAAAAAACTAAAATATGAAAGTGGGCAGAGCCAAAACTCAGACTACTTTCTCAGATGTTTCTCTTTTGCAATGAGTAGCTTCAGCTTTTCATTTCAACATCGGAAATTATCTGGCTATGTTGTTTTTTTCAAGACATTTATAGTCTGATTTTATTGACCCGACAATTATTAATACATTATAAAACTCATTAAATATTCAATCCCACTTCAGTTCTGTCTGTATAGTTTCGAGGATTGATATGGAGTATATAACTAAAGTCACACTAGCTTAGTGTATTGGTTCTCGTCACATCCACAATAGCACAGTCGGTCAAGTGATAACCTAATGTGTCAGAGGTCTATGGTTTGATTCCAACTTTTGCCATTGTTTTTAGACCTATTCTTTCTTTATTTTTTTTGAAGTATATTTTAATAGAAATGGCCAAGTGCTTGCAAAATTGTCTATACGGATATGAAACAACATAGAAACACTGATTTGTCTCATTTTGCATTGTGTTTAACGGCACTGAAATGACATATATTGATTTTAATCCAAATGAATTTTAAATATTAATTCTGAAACCATGTTATTTAAAGATAAGAGCAAAATATATTAAAAACAAAAAGAATAACATGAAAAACAATCATAGGTTCAATTATGTTGTAAAAAAGTTTAAAATAAGAAGAAAAAAAAGAGGATATACGCGCTCTCTATCTTATAACACATAGGACATTATATGAAACTTGCCTGAAACAGCTTTAATATTGAATATGTACCAATGCCTTGAGAACTTGTACAAATCAAATGTTAATCATGCCCCATGAATCTAAATTCGCACACACCCAAAATAGTTCTTCAGTAATATATTCCTGTATAGGACTTGTGTCTGTCACTCGTTCCAATACTAAAAAACAAATTACAACTTAACTTCGTATAAAGAGACATCTTTATGAATTCTACCTATCTAACATTTTTTTGGTCAAGGTCAACAGGCCATATAGTAAATGTGCATAGACATAGGGACTTCATTCTATCTGTTTACATGCATCTTCATATATATTCATATTCCTCTTTGTTAAACTGAGAGAACTGGCTTCCATAAATTTATATGTCACTTTTATTTTGATGTTCGCTGAAGTCTCTTCAGTTAACAGAACTATCATTTTTACATTTAAACACGCCCCTGGAAAAAAATTACGAAGCGAGTCGCTACTAGCTTTTTTAAAAGCTAACCTTGTCTTGGTATTATACATAAAGATGAGCATAATAGTCTTCTAGGTTAGGCTTTCAAGTTAACCAGACATACCTTGATTTTGAAGGTCCAAGTATTGAAATTTTCATTTATTTGCTGTAACTGGATATGGCTTTGTCATTGATTAACGGACTGACTTTGTATTAGGATACAACATTCTTTTGGAGAAGACCTTTATGTATATCAAAGTCAAATTAATCTTGTCTTATTTATGAACTTGGCCTTGAATGCTAAATTATTGAAATTTCGCTGATTTTTGTTATTATTGATTAAACCTTGGTAATTAATAAAAAACTCCTCTTAAACTGGATGGCAGATTTTGCTTAAACTTCCAGGGATGAACAACCTTAATATGTATATGGTAATCAAGGAAGGAATTTTTGCTGCGACCAAATTAAACAGAATTATGGCCCTTTGTTGATTTCTTCACTATATACCATATAGAAATTTTGTGAACGCAATCTTAAACCGGATGGCAGATTTTGCTTAAACTTCCAGGGATGAACAACCTTAATGTGCAGATGGCAGGAAAGGAAGGAATTTTCGCTGCGACCAAATTTAATAGAATTATGGCCCTTTGTTGATTTTTTCACAATATACTATGTAGAAATTTTGTGAACGCAACTCCTCTTAAACTGGACGGCAGATTTTGCTTAAACTTCCAGGGATGAACAACCTTAATGTGTAGATGGTAATAAAGGAAGGAATTTTTGCTGCTACCAAATTTAACAGAATTATGGCCCTTTGTTGATTTTTTCACTATATACCATAATTATAGAAATTTTGTGAACGCAATCTTAAACCGGATGGCAGATTTTGCTTAAACTTCCAGGGATGAACTACCTTAATGTGTAGATGGTAGGAAAGGAAGGAATTTTTGCTGCGACCAAAATTAACAGAATCATGGCCCTTTGTTGATTTTTTCACTATATACCATATATATATGTTGTCAGTGGGGGCACCTCCTTTGGACACAGTTCTAGTTTTACTATAACTTAATAATTATACATATTTTTTCTCCCATACATATTTTTTCTTCTTCATAGTTATGTTTTCCTTACTGCGTCAAGTATTTTATTAGTGGAGCTTCCCTGTCTTCTGTGACAGCTCTTGTTTATGTTTGGTTTCAGATTGAACGAATACAAAACCCAACACTGTACACGCAGTATGCAGGCAAGAAAACACAGATGGAGATACACAACAAAGGCGGGCGGCAGGTGGAAAGACTACTGTGGCATGGCACAGATCTAACTGCTGCCAACCTCATTAAAATCTTAGGGTTTGATAGGAACTATAATTCAGGCACGGCATTTACTTTTATCAATATAACGCTCATATTACATAATGTTTAACTCAAAAAATTTGTAAAATTCTTTTTTTAAAGAGTTTTTGAAAGACTAGTAATGTTTAAATCAGCCTGAATTTTTCATAATTGAAAAGTATCTTTTAGTTCGAAAATAAAACAAACAAACCAACAAACAAAAAAAACACCAAAAAGCAAATGGCTAATAGTAATTACTCTTCAGTCTATCAGAATTAATGATAAAATTGTGTATCATTAACATTTTCAGGGTCATCTCATGGAGCGGGCGTATACTTTGCTGTAAAAGCTTCTACATCTGCCAATGGCTACTGCAGTCCAGATGCTTTTGGAAACAAACATATCTTCTTGGCACACGTCCTGACTGGTGAATATTGTATGGGACAATATGGAATAAGAGTACCACCAGCAAATCCTGCATCTAAATCGGGAACTTATGACTCCACAACAGACAATGTACAGGCTCCAAACTTCTTTGTTATTTTCCATGATGCCCAGGCGTATCCATCCTACTTGATAACATTTAAGTAAATTAATGATACATTTAATCTTATACAAAGCTTATTTTTTATTTGTTTTTGCAAATTCATATGTCGATCATTTTAATTTGATGAAACAATTTTCATTTTGATAAAACAATATTATGTGCCTCAGAATTGAGGTGTCAGCTGGGAAAGTTTTTATTGAAACTGTTTGCTGTGTAACGACTTGATGTAGTGTTTGTACATAGCTAGATTGTATGTGCACATGGATATCTTTACTGGGTTATGAGTTAAGAATATATATAGCCGCCAGAATGTCATGTCGCCAAAATGTTATTTTCACTGTTGATGTAAATAATGTAATCATTTGTACAATCAGCAAAACTTTTTTTTTCGTTCTTAAGATTTGTTTGCAAAGAAACATGTATTTTATTTATATTTTTTGAACTCTAATGTATGTCATATTTCTTTTTCAATTAATTTTTCCTTTGTATCAGTATAATTTGTTATATGACTCTGTGATTATTAAGGTTGTATTGTAAATTAAAATTACCTGGCAATGTTAGTCAGTATTGTTATTGAACAATGGATTACTTGGTTAAATATTTACTGTAAGATTTACAACGTTAGACAGCACTTTTAAATAACTTAAATTTATATGCTTAATGAGAGTGCAATTTATTGTCTTTTGTGCTAAATTGTCTATGATATATATTTGTCTATGATATATATTGGACAGTCTTAAGACTCTTCTTGTGATTTATATAATGTAAGTTAATCCATATATAGCGTGTGTGAGTTGTGTTGATATACTTTCATAATGCCTTGCTTAAAGTAGCATGCCTGAAGGTTCATTATAATTTTATTTAAAAAAGTTTGAAAATGTATTTAAAAATAAAATACTGTAAAGTGAACAAAGAAAATAATATACATATTGCAAATGTAAACAACACTTAAAATTCAAGTAAATTACCAAAAAAAGAGGTCAAAATATATACAAAATTTGCCCTTTCTGTGATATTCATGCAGTATAAATAATATGATGAATACTAAAAAAGCAGTTTTTAATCACACATAACATGCATACTTTTACTTGAATCTTCGACCTTTTCACTTTTCAAAAATCTTTGTACATTTTTCATCTGGAGGCATGCAGCTTAAATTTATTTTTGTTAGTTTAACCATGAGACAGTATTTATATATACTAAAATAGTGAGCTATCATTAAGAGCTATTATAAGTAGCCACAATCTGACAATAACGAAAAGACATGATAAGAAGCCTGCTATCTCCAATTCATGGATGAATGACAACGCTTTGAGCTAAAGCTGCTGGTTTTAAAACTTACCGTATTACATTTAAACACTAACCGTGTTAAAACCAATAATTATAATATCGTAAGTAAGGTACAAAGTGACATGTTTGAAGAGGGCAATTTTTGCATTCAGTTTTTTGCAAACAGATTTTTTTTTGATAATGCCAGTTTTATGTATTATCTACATAAATGCCAAATAACTTTTGAAATGTAACATTTTCTAGAGATGTATCAGGAGAGGATTACATTTCTTCACCTTTTTTGAAGAACCAATTATCATGCATTTTGTTTTTTATTGGATGCAAGGACATATTAATAAGGATGCACCAATCATTAATAGCAGTTAATTTTTTTTTTGCTCACCTGAGCTTGCTCAGGGTGAGCTTTTAGGATCGTTGAATGTCCGTCGTCCGTCCGTCGTCCGTTGTACGTCCACAATTGATTGTGAACACTCTAGCGGTCGCATTTTTGCCTCAATCATCATCAAACTTGGTCAGGATGCTTATCTAGTTGAAAGCTCGGATGAGTTCGAACATGGCTCATCTCGGATGAAAAACTAGGTCACAAGAGCTAAAAATAGAAAAACCTTGTGAACACTCTAGAGGTCACATTTTTGACCCAATCATCCTCAAACTTGGTCAGGATGTTTGTCTAGGTGATAGCTCGGATGAGTTTGAACATGGGTCATCTCGGATGAAAAAGTAGGTCACAGGAGCTATAAATAGAAAAACCTTGTGAACACTCTAGTGGTCACATTTTTGAACCAATCTTCATCAACCTTGGTCAAATTGCTTGTCTAATCAATTGCTTGGATGAGTTCGAACATGGGTCATCTCTGATGAAAAACTAGGTCACAGGAGCTAAAAATAGAAAAACCTTGTGAACACTCTAGTGGTCACATTTTTGACCTAATCATCATCAAACTTTGTCAGGATGCTTGTTAAGATAATAGCTCGGATGAGTTCAAATATGGGTCATCTCAGATGAAAAACTAGGTCACCGGAGCTATAAATAGAAAACCTAGTTAACACTCTAGCGGTCACATTTTTGCATCAATCATCATCAAACTTGGTCAGGATGCTTATCTAGTTGATAGCTTGGATGAGTTCGAACATTGGTCATCTCGGATGAAAAAGTAGGTCACCGGAGCTAAAAATAGAAAAACCTTGTTAACACTCTAGCGGTCACATTTTTGCATCAGTCATCATCAAACTTTGTCAAGATGTTTGTCTAGGTGATAGCTCGGATGAGTTTGAACATGGGTCATCTCGGATGAAAAAGTAGGTCACCGGAGCTATAAATAGAAAAACCTTGTTAACACTCTAGCGGTCACATTTTTGCATCAATCATCATCAATCTTGATCAAGATGCTTGTCTAGGTAATAGCTCGGATGAGTTCGAACATGGGTCATCTCGGATGAAAAAGTAGGTCACCGGAGCTAAAAATAGAAAAACCTTGTTAACACTCTAGTGGTCACAATTTTGACTCAATTGTCATCAAACTTGGTCAGGAAACTTGTCTAGGTCATTGTTGGGAATAAATCGAACATGGGACATCTCGGATGAAAAACTAGGTCACATGAGCTAAAAATAGAAAAATCTTGTTAACACTCTAGTGGCTACTGTTGTGATCCAAATATTCTGTTAATTGGTCTGAAAGTTTGTTTTGATGATTTCTAAGTCAAGATCGAACATGGGTCATCTTGGATGAAAAACACCGCCCAAATATGGAAAAACCTTGTTAACATTCTAGTGGTGACATTTTCGACTCAATTATCATCAAACTTGGTCAGGATGCGTGTCTAGGTAATTGCTTGGATGAGTTCGAAATCGCATGTGAAACTAGGTCACCGGAGCTAAAAATTAAAAAATATTGTTAACACTCTAGTTGCTACTGTTTTGATCCAAGTATCCTGGAAATTGGTCTGAAAGTTTGTTTTGATGATTTCTAGGTCAAGTTTGAATATGTGTCACCTGGGTAAAAAACTAGGTCGCACTGCTCAAATATGGATAATCCTTGTTAACACTGTAGTGGTCACATTTTTGACTCACCTGTCATGAGACTTGGTCAGAATGCTTGTCTAGGTAATTGTTTGGATGAGTTTGATGAGTCAGGTGAGCGATCTAGGGCCATCATGGCCCTCTTGTTTGTAAATTATCTTCTATTTCTAGTTACCAGATTGGTAAAGTGTAGAGTCATCTGCATACAAGTCTATAATAAGATCATTATAGAGTATAGATATATCATTGATATAAAGAAAAATAGGATAGGATCCTTAAGGAATTCCTGATTTCACCACTAAAGTGTCAAATTTTATATTACCTACTTGAACTGTCTGTTTTTTGTTTGATATGATATAATTTCAGTTTGTGCATCAAAACGTCATGATCGACAAGATTAAATCAAAGAAAATTGCACCTATCATTTTACCATTATCAATATCTTTGATCCAAGCATCAACTAATCTAAGTAATTCTGTATTACAAGAATGATTGTCTGTCATGTATATTTCTTTTGTATTTTGAAAAAATGCCTGAAGATGCGACGATATATATTGCTATATGTTGTTCAAATGTTTTTGAAATGGTTGGTAGAATTGAAATTGGGCGATAAATATCAGAAAAGTCTCTACTTTCTGATTTCAACACAGGCAAGAAACGAGTTTTCTTAAGTTTATCAGGAAAAATACCCAAATAAATGCTATTATTTATAATAGATGTTATGCAAGGAATAATAGTATCCCCAGAACTTTTTTAAATTGCCCGGTCAATACTATCAAGGCCTGTAGATTTATTTGTGTTTAATTTTGGAATTATTTGCTTTACTTCCATGGTCGTTATGTAAGGAGTATCAGTACGCGGGAGATACCCAATTTTTTCAGAGTGGAAACATTGTTTCAGAAAAAATAGTTTTGGTAATGATATTTGAAATATTGGTAATATGTTTATTTAGTTCTTTGATAAATATTTTTCCTTTTTAGACAGAAATGTTATCCGTTTAGTTTGATTGATGTTAAAATCTTCTTTCAAGTTTTTCCATACATACTTTGAGTCCTTATTCTTTTCAATGGCAGTATTAAAGTATTTCTTTTAGCCTTTCTAATCAATGAAGTAACTTTGTTAAAATTTTGTACTGATCAAAATCTTCTTTATTATGACACGTATTGCACAAATTTATTGTTATTTTAATTTCATAGACCTGTAAACCAGTCAGGTTGGTGCTCCCGTTTTACGCTTTTTTCTTTCATTGGCACATGCTTTGCAAATACTTAATTTAAAACAAAAGAAATTTCAAGAATTATTTGGATTTGTAATTGTTTCAGTAATATCTGTACCAGATGTTAAAAGATTACATTGAAAATTTTCTTCACGAAATTTTTTAGTCATTCTATATTTTATCACCTTATGCAACCCATATTGTTTATTTTTGTTATAATTAGTTAAATACACCATACATACAGGAAAATGATCACTTATAGATGTAAATGTCTGAAATCTGACAACAAATGTACTAATGTTGTAATATACAAACATGTTTTTATTCTCATAGACACTTTGTTAATATCGTTAACACTTGAACTTATCCAGTATTTAAGGAAACACAAGTAAGCCAAAGCAAATATAATGTTTTACATCGAATATTTATGGGCTTTTTTGTCTAGATAATAAATTTCAATCATTGTTGTAGTGTACACAATATGTTGTCAAAGTACATGTAACAAACAACACATTCCCCAGCTATTATAAAGTTTACAATACATACCGTTTAATTTCTTTAACCTTATTTTGTTGAATGTTTAAGGTATTGGATGCCTATTGCAGAGAGTATTCATTTCAGTGAGCACACAACGTTTTGATGGGGTGTGGCTTCGAACCACAGAAGAGGGTTTTTTTTCTCAATTTTTGTCTATTTTTCTTCTTTTTTTTTGGCTAGAATTTGATTTTTTTATATTGAATCTGAAATTAAGTAAAATATTAAAGTTTAATGCTTAATTGTTTCTGTGAATCATGTGAAACTGGATTGAGTAACAACTTGAAATGATTATTATTTGAAATCAGCATTGTAAACTTTATATTTTTCACACATGTTTTGTTTTGTATCAAGATAATAATTATTAAATTATATTTTGATGCTCCTATTTGATATGACAAAAGCCAACAGGTTTTCTTACTGCACCCTTTTCTTATTTGATGTTAAACGACAAGTACCTGTCTCAATAAACCAAAATAAAATCTTTTCATAGACATTTGTCATTGGTTGTAATTGTAACTAAGGTTTTTATTAGTACTTTGCAACTAAGAAAAAATGAAACTAGCAAAACTTTTCTTCAGATAATGAAAACATATTCTTTGCTGTTGTTGTATAAAACTGATATTTCAATTGTCAATATTTTTCAAACACGATGGTTAACTTTTGTAATGTTTTGAATTTATGCCCAGAATATAGTACAGTTTATTAATATAATGTTTTAAATGCTTTTTGAGGAAGTGTTAATTATACATGTAATACCTTAAATTTTGTTAGAATTGATCATACTTGTATATAATGGAAGGGGAAAGTTCAGGTCTCCTTATGTTTTAAATGTTGGGCACATCATTATTTAGGAGAAAGTTTTCATCAAATTGGGCCATAATTTATTTATAAAGACATCAAAGTCTAATAACAGCATTTTAGGGAATAATGGTGATTTTTGTGTCACCTGCTACAGAGTAGCGGCGTCATATAGGGATCACTTCGCCGTCATCCATCTGTCCATCCATTTTGTCTGTCACAAATATTGTAAAGGCTACTCCAAAATGTCAAGAATAATCAGTATCAAATAAAGTTGTGCAACTCGTCGGTATTTTCCAGTTCAATGATTTTTGTCAGTTATGTCTTTAATTATTTTTTTTAAGTTTGTCAGGACTACTCCTCTTATACCAACAATGTAATTTAAATGAAACATTACAAGATTGATTATTATAGTCCTGGCGGCGTTGCCGTTGCACTTTCAGGATCACTTTTAGGCTTCGGTACCTTGTTCTGTGAAGTGAATTTCTTTGTTCCTTTTTGTCAGTTTGAAATATATTCTCCTCACCTTCCTTTTAAAACGATGTTCATTTTTCTGATGAACGAACCCATCCTGAGTCTCTTCTCGTTTTCCAAAGTGTCAACTTGAACAATTTTCATCCAATTTTTCACTGTACTATTAGTATCCTTCTTCATCCTTTCATCTTGCGGCCTTTCCTTCTTTGCTTTTCATCAACAAATGCTAAAACCACTCCACAAGCATATCAATGGTAGGTAGTTGGTTTAGAAGCTTGTCAGAATATCTTTTCTGTATAGAGGATTTTCAGTTTCTGTTCCTGAACTGTTCTGATTATCTCCACTAACTATTATGCTATTATACACTGGGTAAAATGGTGAAGATTTTCTTATACCACTTTGTGGTAACAGATATTGATTTTCCTCTGCAGCTGAAAAAAGTGCAATTCACGTTAAAAATGAAATTAAAACCAGAAAACAAATTGGATTTCTTACATTTTAAACAGTTTGAATTTCTTTTTGTCGGCTGACTTTTGTACAATGATGTTCATCGACAGGATTTTCAAGAACTCCGACGAGCTGTTCCGCTATTAATTTGTTCAGGGAATGTATTGTACTTTCAGAGTTAATAGCAGATGAAGCAAGTTTATGGACTTCTTTTATGTTTCTATTGATGAAGTCATTAGAATTTTTTCCATTGATTAGAAATTTTTGATGTAGTATTATACACAGGTTTATATAGTATATGAGCCACCGTCATTGATGGTTACCCTAACTGACGTTTGTACAATTGCACTTCAGACGAGTCATATGTGTTTTGTTTTTTCCGCTGTACCTAGCTTTTTGTTAAATTTCTGTAAAGTTTTTGAGTATAGCCCATTTTAAAAAAAAATCGTAAGTAGCAGCATTAGCAGTTCCAACCATACCATCCTGTGAGAGTATAACTTAATACTTTGAGTACGTTTTGCAGCATGAAGTTTCTTCAATAATGATTTTTCAATGTTTAAATGTGTAGTCGCCCCGGGTTTGTTTTGCTGGGACTGTGTAGCTGGTGTCATTATGGTGCCCTCTTGAGGTGAAGTCGCCATGTTTTATTTATACCAAAGAAGACAGTGCAGAGCAGTGGTCAAAGCAATCAAACAGTGTAGAGATATTAAAAAAATATCAGTTTCACAAGGCCAAGTCCGGACAGTTGTATTTCAACTGAATAATCGATAATTAATCTAATATTAATGAGTAGTTTGACTCTCTGTATATAAGAAATATCAATGTCTATAAAAAGGAGCAGCAGAAAACAAAAAACTCTTTTGAGGTCTCGTAAGGTCACGAGGACAATTAAAATAAAGTCTAAAAATTAAAATAACTAAAACAGACGTAAAATGTTCTACTTGCACCATTTAAATTCCCCTTTTTTTAATTTCACCAAATAGATGAGGGATTATGGGCTTCAGTAAACAAAAACTGTAAATGGTTACAAAAAATTGGTCTTCCGATGTTTTTTTTCTTAGGACAAACTTAAATTCGCCACACTCTTCCGTTTACACACGTTTTTGCTATTAAGGTTAATCGCCTTTTTGGTGTTTTTTTTGTGTGCTCATATTATGATATTTAAAAGGACAGAGCAAACAGCTAGGGTAGTATAAGGTTTAATGTATTTGCAAACATATCAGTAAATCCCTTTTGTGACTTTTTTGGGATTTTCATGATAAGGTTTAATCTTTCCATTCATTGTCATTTAACATTTATTTCTGAATGAGTTTGTTTTTTTTCAGATCCCATATGAAATTGAGAATATTCAGCTTCAAACTCGTTTCCAGACTTGAATTTCTTTAAAAGGATATCCCAGTCCATGTTATGATCAAAATTGTCAGTATTGTCATCATAGACTTCATTATTTTCAGAGCTCTGTTTGCGAGTGTCAGAAGGTTCTTTTTTACGGAACTTTTCTTGTTCACTTCTGGACTAATCCACTTGCTTTGGAAAAGTATCTTCAGCATGGGCCTTTTCATTTCTCTTTATTTTTCTGATTGTTTGCAGGTGTCTGAAGTTTCTTCATCTTTAACAGAAATTTCATGTTTCACTTCCTGACTCTCTACATGCTTGGAAAGTATAATTCATCATGGACTTCATTATCCTCAGTTTCCGATTGTTTGTGAGTGTCTGAAGTTTTCTTCATCTATAACAGAACTTTCTTTGTTCACTTTCCGACTCTCTACTTGCTTGGAAAGTATCTTCATCATGGACTTCATTATCCTCAAGTTTCCGATTTGTTTGGGAGTGTCTGAAGTTTTCTTCATAACTTTCTTTGTTCACTTTCCGACTCTCTA